GGGTGGAAACTAAAACGTTAACTTTTTGAGATGTTTTCATATCTTACTACTCAAGTAAGATAGCAAAATAGTTAAAACTCCACTTTACGTATAATCCGTAGTTAGCAAACAATTTTAGACCAGTGTTTCTGAGATTTGTATACATGTCTACTACCTTTTTAATGATCTTTTCACTGTCCACAAAATTGTAGTGAGGAAAAATTCATGTCTGAGAAAAATGGTAAAATGTCAATTTTCGGGGGTTCGAACTCCTATAAAAAGGATTTCCACTGACTCCTCGCAGTGGTAACCCTTCGAAATTTATTTGTTAGGAAGCTTTGTAAAACAACTTTCCATAAATAAAGCACCTTATCACATCACCATAAAAACTAAATTATAGCTTCATTGACGTCAAAGTTGGACACTGCGTTCAATTCGCATTATTGAATTAAACCAAGTTTAACGCATCTCGTTTTTATTAAGTAATTACGTCTTATGCAACGCGCACGATCGGTTATGCTGACCCCTATTTTTGGCGCTCTATATTACATTGACCTAAATCGCAGCATATAATAATTTATCTCGTAAAACATCTGTGCGTTTCGTTCTAAATTTTGAATCATGTCATTGGACTATATTCCCATTAACAAAGGAACGATAGCGTAGTCCTCGGCTGTTAATGACGTCAATTGCGAAAAAACCGCGATAAGACAATCGAAAGAGATTGACGCCTCGCCATTGGTGGAAATATGAGGTGTTGCAGCGCAGATGGATTTCATTGGCCGTCGGGTTTGTGGCGTGTGTATGTATGCTACACGTGTTTCTCTTGTTTATCGTTTGCAATTTGCACATAATACCTGGAAATGCTCGGAATTTCGCGTGATATAATGCGAAGGTTTTTGATAAGAACGACGTTGTTTTCGCGTACTTTGATTTGGATGAGCTGTTTTGTGCGTATCATACTGTAATTAATTATGTATGCATTTTGTTCTGAAAGAAATTATTCTCATTAGGTACTTGTTTCCATAGGTCAATTTTACTTTCTCTTGAATACGCAACGCTTTGATTTCTTTCTTTTACCTCTCGCCAAATTAGATACAAGCGTAATGACCATCAAATAATTAAAAATGTAAGACAATATTCAAATCAAGAATCAATCATGTATGACCCATAACAATTAAAATCCTCTTTTATTTTCACTGTTCCCATATGGCTGGCATATTCAATTGTTGATTTGTAATTAAAAACACTTTTCTCTTCATTGTGTTTCTTCCGGAACTGTCAAGGTAAAAGTTCAATTTTTGTCGATTATATACAGGGTCTCCCAGATCGAGTGCGATTAAGTTTTGTGTGAGTAATGAGGATAACCAAAATTCGGGTGAAGGAGACTCAAGGTTTGAATTTACCTGGACCGAATTTTTGTGAGAGCGAACAAGTTGTTTTAACGGAATTTTCCGCTCTGAATCTTATTGGATGTCACTTTATAGCAGTGTGGAATACGTCTACAAAATGCATACGCTCAATGGGTGTCACATACAGGGTGTATTTTCAAGTTGGTGGCATATTATCAAATGAACCCCCTAAATATTATTTCATTTTAAGATTTTACGGTAAATTCTATTACACATTTCATATGTACGTACCCAAATTTATCCATTTTTGACATGCCAAAAAGTATGCAAATTAAAATTGACATTTTTTTCTATGTGAGAGCTGTTATTAAGCGGCAGAGCAAAGCGATGCGTGTTATAGGGGGCCGTTACCACATGTAACAAGCTTATTGAAAATGGGTCAATTCCAGTGACCCCGTAGGGTCACAACGAGGTGCTCCGCCACCTTTTTTAGATCCACTTTATGGGTTTATTCTCGGGTTTATTTCGTTAGAGCTGGTTTCGTTTCAGGACCAGTTCCGCTTTAGTGCGCGCTGTCTTGACATTTTGATTACCTATAAATAAATGCAAGTACATCAGTCATTAAAAATTGAATTCAATATAGAATTTTACGTAGGATCTAAAAATGAAATAATGTATATCTTGTGTTGAATATTTTTAAAGCGTTATAAATTTATGCACGTGAATAATAAAAAAGTAGATGCTCAAATCAATGTAAATGGCAGTGTAGATGTTTTGAATGGAATGTGTTCAATAAATTAGATTGAAGTCTCAGTTATCTTCACACACTTTAAGGGTAAAATTAGTAATTAGACCTTTACACACTTGCTTTGAAGAATGGTTTCGACTAATCATAAATCTTGTCGATTTACTAGTACTGCATCAGTAGGAGATTTAACATACAGGGTGGGCCATTAGTGCGTGGGTGGAAGATTGTGGGTTTATTAAAGCACATATTCATTGTCGGGCATATTAAAGAACTCTTACGGCTTCACAACCTCAAGGTATTTTCAACGAAATTGTAATAATTGTTATACAGGTTGATTGATTAAAAGTTGCAATTTTTTGAATAGAACCTCCTGTATTGCATATTTCGATGCATGGTTAATTTTAGTGTAACTTTAGGTATACACATTGTATCTAAAACGTGTCGTTTAGCCAGAAGTTCGTCATTTAATATTCAAAAAGTAGATGTCCAATCAAAATAAAATGACATGGATGCGAAAGCATTAGAAATGTGCATTTTCATATTCTCTTTTGTTGTTAGGCCTTCTCTGTATACATTTCCCTTCACTTAACCCCATACTTTTTCAAACAATGACAAATGATGCTAAACGACGAATTTTAAATATCATGTGTATATACAGTCCACACTAAAATTGAGCAAATAATTGAAATATGCAATAATATACAGGGGGTTCTATTTTAAAAAATGGTACTTTGATATAAATCACCCTGTATAACAATTGAAATTTCGTTGAAAATATTTGTAGGTTGTAGCTTTTAGAATCCTTCAACACGCTCCGACTATGTGCGTTAATAAATCCACAATGTTCCAGCCTGTATACCAAGCATCAAGACCCGAAGAACTTCCGTTTGAATTATCGAGCGCACAGACGGAAAACCACACGACTTCAAGGAGGACCCTTATCGAGTCCTTACCAAATACCACAAACATGGTATCTTACAATGACCAGGGCCATCAAACATAGCGGAAAAATATTTACTCAATTTTCACTGAAAGTCTTCCGTGATGGAAAATTTCGCATTTTGTATATCTCGATAAGGAGGTGTTGTAGCCAACCTACGAGGGCGTTTTTATCAAACATACAGATTACTCCCTCGTATTCGTATGTGGAAATTTCATTTGTTTATTGCAACTCGTGATCTTTGTTGCGTAACTTTTCAGTTTACTACTAGTCTAAAATGGTCTTTTTTTGTACTTACGGGTTCATTGTACGTTATCTTGTGATTCATTTAATTAATTCAATTTTTATCGCCAATTGTGTTGCGAAGTTCTACGTTCGGGGTTTGGGTAATATAAATTTGGACAAAAAATATCCATATCAAATATCCAGCAAACTATGTCCAGTGCGTGGTGTGCTATGTGATATGTGGTAGTTAAATTAATAAAAAGCTTTTGTTGATTGGATAAAATCGTTCTATATCTACATCGGAAATAGATTTTTCCACATAATTAGTTCAAGTAACATAATTAGTTTGTCTGGATTTTAACTCGTTATTTTATCGGGTAAGTGTAACTATTTTTGTGTACTTGTTGGTGCATTCGTTACGTAAACCGCTGATATTTAAAAATATGTCAGAAAATTAAGTGCAACGGTACCCCAACGAATTCTTTGAATTTTTAGTTCGCCAAGATTTGAGATACGAGTCATTATGACTAACGGTTTATAATCTATCTGTGTTTGGTTGTTTCTTTTTCATCATCTGCTCAAAGAGTCAAATTGATAGTTAAACCTCTTTGGTGCATTTCGAAAATAACAAAGTAACTCGAGAAGTAACCTCAAACTAACAGGTACATTGATATTTGGTAAGGGCAGAAACTGATGTTTTATTGCTGTTCCTGAAAATATGTCGTAGAGCGTCCAATATTCTCCAAGCGTCAGATTGACAAACTTGTTTTTTATCCCACTTTCAATTTGGTAAATATTTTGCTTTGCTTCTTTGATCTATGTTCGTCCTCAAAAATACATGTTGATAGTAGTATTTACATTTTTAAGTGTCTAAACATATCTGGATTTGTGATGTGCAAAAATTGTTTAGTGGTCTGTGAACATCTGAGAGTGGAATTAGGGCTCCTTCAAAAAAAGGAAGGAAGGAAGGGAGTTAGTTTTAATAAAACAGAAAATACTGAACTAGCTGAATTATTATTTAATCGCCGGATCTTGGAGTCTGGCACAACTCATGCGATCGACCCCATAGAAAATTATTAGTCCTAATTTGTTGATTAGTAGAAGGAGCTAATAATAGGTAAGTCTAAGTCCCCAATCTCAAAGGTCGACTTTTCCCCTTTGTCCGATCCGCCAGCTAATCGGCGTGTATGTCACCCGTATCCATTTGCGTATTCCACCAATTATCTTTAGTAATTCGCGGTTGTTACTGTGCAATTACTACCGGCTTGTAAATTATAGCCAATTATGTATTTGGAAAAATGTCATTCACCATTCAGGGCAAACAAGCTTTAATTAAAGAGTCTAGTTATATAATTAGAGTCCTAGTTAACCTACAGAGAGGTGACTTTCACTATTATCTACAATTTTCCCGGAAGCGGAGGATGACATGCAGAAAACTCGATTAATTAATCCCAAATTTGGCGATACGTCCACCCGCCACCCAAACATTTACTTGCACAATCGCATCATGCGCAGTTAAAGTTTTGGCAACTGCTATTGCCAAATTGTCTCAACTGTAGGTACCTACTTTTGTTTTTTTCGCGATTTATTGATGCCAATTTTGTTGTTGTTGCCGGGCACGTTTCGAAACCTTGAACCTGTCATGGTGTGTGTGTACCCATGAAATCGTGGAAACTTCACGTATTAGATGTGCAGGTATATTTATACCTCATTGACATCCAAATATTGTTCAGTTTTTGGCAAGTTCGTGAAGTGAATTTGTACGGTATTCAAAGGTAGGTACATACATGATAACGGGGTCTCCAATTATTGGGTTTATTCCTCCCATTCTTATCGCATTGTATTTTTAATTTCGATTATAGCTGTCCTACACAGCGTTATTTATAACCAGATATCAGCTGTTTATAATTGTCAACCTCTCCTCGGGTTGCATTTGAATTTCAATTAATTGCTCCGTTATCTTAATTACTATAGCACTAGTAACATAAATTACTATTTTTAAATGTGAGCGGATTGTACTAGGCACATACGAAATTACGATAAACCCGATCGCGACCGGTACAAAACTAAAGCACAGATAAATTGGGTATTTTATCTGTGACTAAAGTAATAAAAAAAGGCATTCGTTACGAGGTACAGAATTTTGCAGATTTATAGCTTATAATTGGTTGAGGTCGTCGCCCACTACACGAGATATCGACGCCGCGCCGTCTGTTAAGAGTTTCGTAGACCACCCGAACTTATTTATACAGAGTGTCTATTTTTCGAATGCTACTACTATGGGGATCTCGCTTGTCATAAAAAAATTGTTTAAATGACGGCAAAGTTGCGAATTTTTATGCAGAATAATAATGTGAAAAAGCATTTAAAATATCTTCAATAGTTTTCAAGATATCGCAAATTTCATTTTTTCATGATAAACTAATCCGTACTAGGCATTTCCAACCAAAACATTAAGTGGACACTTAAGATAAGCAAAATCCACATAGTGAAACTCGAGAAATGAACACCCTGTATCTTGGATTTCCTTTATTTTTTCCCAGCAACCCTTTGATCGAGTGTGGACCAATAGTCTGAAATACAAAATCTCACTACTTCAAATATGTATACCCATACTATATCAAATCCACACTATTGTTCTTATAAAATCGCAGCTTCGCAGTTAAAATTCATGCATCCCTATCGTCTACCAAAAATATACGTGCAGGGGTTCCTCAGGGTGGTATCCTAGGTCCAATCCTTTTCAATATCTTCATGCGGAACTTTCCTACCATCAACGCAGACGTTGCAATGTACACAGAGGACACAGTCATAAAATGCTTGGAAATGGCTCATATCATACAAGACGCTGGCACTATTCTCAGTAGATGCAGTCAAGAACTAGAACCTATCCATTAATTTTGACAAATGTGTTGCAAAAATATTCACACTAAAACAAACACGAACTTGTAACACCCTGTACAGGACTTGAAACTCGCTGCTTTTATTTTGAATAAAAAATTGTACCTACTCGTTAAAGCATAAATTACCTGATGGCTTTCAATAAATCTTTACCTGGCTAATTTCGAAATCACTTAAATTTTCATTTGTATTCAATGCTAGTCCCTCAATTTCAAAATTTGGTAGGTAATTTAAAGGTCAATAATATCAATAAAACTAATTTTCTACAAGTAGATTTTATAAGGTCAATTCTAGCAAAATATTGCTAAAGGTTACACAACCGCTCATCGAACGTCAACAAGAAAAATTACATAAAACAATAAATATTATTGTTAGCGAATGTTGCAATTTATCATCAATTACATCAGAGATAATCTATAACTTTTTTAATTGTTTTACTTTGTGTCGCAGTAATTTGGGTCAACGAAAATTGAAACAATTGGAATTCGCATTATTTTTTGTTTTCAATAAAACCGCTCGAATGTATTAAAGTAGTTCATTGCCAAAATGACTTTCAAAGCAAAAACACTTTTACTTAGCGCAGTTAAAAGTTTACATAACAGCGATTGTACATTAGGCAATGGATGCTATGCCAATCATTAATGCGGCGTTAGAATCCTGATGAGTGATCATGACTGCATTAAATAAGTCGAGTGTAAATAATTATTGGTTCCGCTTTCGTATTGCGGTTTACTCAATTTCTAGAATTTTTTCTTCACTTTAGGTTTGTTATCATACTAACAATAGTTATTCATATTTTAAACAATCGTAATATTCTTGCGTCTACAGGCTGTCCATGGTAACTGTTACAGTATGAATTCTCAGCCTAGGACACTTTATAAGAGGAATTTGGATATGATATTTTTTTGTTATTTTCTTATTTTTCTGATGAAAATTATACAGGACGAGATTTTTTTATAAATAAACGGTTGGTCCAAAATGAATTGTTTACGAGTTACGCCAACAGTGAATCTGCTTTTTAGGGGAATTTTTCGAAAAAAAACCCCTTATGTGATAGTTTTGTCCGGCCGTCCGCCTCTTCCTCATCTAACCCGAGAACGAAAAGAGGCAGCGATGTCAAACCTTCGCCAATCGATTTCTATACTAGTTCATGGATCAGGCTATTGAATATGAGCCGGAGTATCTCCTCCTTGAAGAAAGCAACGGAATCCGATGTAATAGTAATGTGGGTTGCTTATGCTGCAGAGTTTCCCCTATTAGGCGATCATTACTTTTGTCAATGACCGTACATTTTTTATATCCAATAAAAAATCTACTGATTTTCTCGTTATCGTGGCACGTATTGCGGTACGAAAAAGAGCAGAGTGGTTTCCAAAAGATCTGATGGCGCCAAGGCAACGAGAGAGGAGATCCTCTCAGGTTTGTCTGATTATGTCAAGAACAACCGTCGTAAATAATGCTTATTTGTGACACTTCTATAGTATACATTTTTTTGACATACTTAATTGTTACACAGAGTAAAGAGAAAAAATTGTGTTGGCAACCTTTCCCTTTTTGGTGTTTTGTTGACACAGTCTGATTTTTGATCTTTGGTCTCAAAAATCGTATACTTTAGATGCTGGGTAAAAAAAGACAAATTCAAACATTAGAAAATTGACTCGTATCGTACTTTCGGGAATCTTCTGGTCTATTTTCTGTTTTGTACTTGTTGGTGGCCTCTCTGGTGACGTTATGTCAGACTTGACGTCATTATCCACCTTTGAGTATGTTTTTATAATAAACAGTTTTGTGGGAAAATGCTAGGCTCAAGTATTTAGATTAATAATTAAGTGTAGATATTTACCTAATGAAACTTATCACAAATTCAAAATAATTTAGATCCAAATTTGGCATTGAACATTTTTAATCAGCTGATAAGTACAAAGTTCTTCAATTTTTTTTTACGTTGAGAATAATTTCGAAATTCGTCCAATTTTCTACAGATTTTTCCCATAGGGGCGATGTTTTCACGTTGCGAATCGCAAATTTGTTTATCTACCAAAAAATAAAGAGTGTAACCTCTCTGCATTAACGTAACGTGTATTGATCAATATTCATTATTGTTGTTTGTTACAGATAAACTATCTATGACACATGAGATCTTGCATCACGATACTGGGACGGTATTAATAGTACCGCAATCGCGAATTTTTCACAGTCAATCAAAAGTAAACTAGAGAGACGCTAGTAAATTAATATGGTAGCGAACAATAATTTATTCGAGTAGAAGAGTAAACGAAATTAGTCACGATGCATGGAATGAACTATATTGGGAGATTTATCTCCAACTTTAAAGATTTTTACAATGATATTAATGGGGCTACTTTAACTGGTGCCATCGACGTCGTGGTTGTTGAACAACCAGACGGGACCTTCAACTGCTCACCGTTTCACGTTAGATTTGGAAAAATTGGTGTCTTGAGAAGCAGAGAGAAAATCGTAAGTGACCTTCCATCTATGTTTACTTTTATTCTAATAGTCATCGTGACGATTATTTTAAGTGTTTTTAATTTTAATTATATAGGTAGACATACAAGTGAATGGAGAAACTTTGGATATACACATGAAATTGGGAGAAAGTGGGGAAGCTTTCTTTGTGGAAGAAGTGCAAGATTCGGATTCAGAAGAAATCCCAGAACATTTGGCCACATCGCCAATACCCGTCGACTTTGAAGAATTGTACAAGTCTAAGGGTCGACGTCGAAACAGTTTAGATTTAACCGAATCAATAGCTCCGGTATTCGAAAACGAGGTTAACGATTACACAAAACGCAGGCACACCGCAAACGCGGGCGATGATTTCCGAGCAAAGGATTTTATAAAAAGACAAATTGGATTAGGCAATATTGAATTAGGCGAAAATTCCGTGGAGGATCTGACGTTATCGTTACCTTCCGGTACTACTACGAAAATTAGCAGCGATGATATTAGCAAGGATAATAGCTACTCGGAAACAATCTTTCAAATGGACAGTCTAGAGACCGAGGCGAAAGCACCCGCCGAGGTTGCGACCTCGTCGAAAATTGACGAGCCGTTGAGCGAAGGTAAAAACGGCAAGAAAAAGCGTCGAAAAAAGTCGGTGATGAAGAAGAAAAACGCCCAGCGAAAGACTTCCACCACGGAACCGCCATCTATTGAAACCTTGGAGATTGGTACCGAACTAAAACTTCCAGATTCGAGTACTGATCGTAGCTCACTAGACAGTAATGTTTCTGAGCCTGAATTACGCGACATTCAGTGAGTTGAAGCGGATTAATAATGGATATATTAAACATTTATTTTTAGAAGACCCGAAACCACAACTCTGGGTAACCGAAAGGTTATGGACCCAGACTTTCATTTCTTCAGTGATACTGAGCTCACGGCGGGGCCTAGCGACTCGAGACCGATGTCGCCGACAACAGTTGAAGGTGTTCTATCCGATACCGAGTTTGAAGTAAAAAACCGAAAAGGTAATTAACTCGTAAATCTAAGCAATGGTTTTTACCGCCATGATTACAGATGAGGATAAAGATATGCAAGTGCAGCAAAGTTGGGCGTGGGGGGAATTTCCCAGCTCGAAAGTTCCCATAGCGGATCCTGCCAGTGACAAGCTGGCCGGTCAGACTCCCACGCAAGCTCAACACAATTCAATGCTGAGCAGTGTCTTCTCCTTCATGAAACATCAGCGACAGGCCAGTAATAGTGATGGCGTCTATCTGGCGGATTTGAGCTCGGGCGCGATGGATCCGGAAGTTGCCGCTCGCTATTTCACCACTACAAACGAGAAGAAAAGTGCTGGTAATTAGTCTTGTTTGGGTTTTTTTTGTTGCTTGCCGCCATGTGTTCAGGGTTGGGCTGGGTCAACCCAGTTTGAGCCAAATCCAACTCTGCTTATGTTGGGTACACCGTCATGCTTGCGCTTCTTTTTATATTTTCTATATTGTAATCGGTGTTATTATGCATCACGTTCAGATGCAGACATGGATTATGAATCAGGAAATGGGCCATCTTTAACGCAAAGTCCAAACAGCGCCGAGGGTTGCAAGTCGATCGATTCCGATTTCGAAGAGCAAAAGCAGTAAGTATTTGTTCACTTGGAGAACTTATTAGCTTATACTATTCAACTAGGGCGTCTGTGTGTATCGGCGATATTTCGTTGTCGTTGTGCGGCTGGGATACTGAACCGACGGAGGAACGATTTAGCGCTGAGAGTGTTCCATTTTCAGATTTATGTAACAATCCCTCGATTTTAGAGTCCAAAAAACTGGTTGTACGGATACACAATAAATACTATAATTTTAAAGTTGCGGTACCGATCATTACCAGTTTGATGATTTATCAACGACCTCTACCTCAGGTATTACAACAACAAGATTTGCAACATCACCATTTTTCATATTTATTTCTCCTTTATTTAAAAAAATTGATTTTCACTAATTAAAATCGATTGAGTCAACTAGTAGTTGACAGCCATTTTTTTTTAAATGAAAGACATCCAATATATTTTTCATTATTATTAATATAAGCTTAGATTTTCAGTCTCAAATATTGTCTTTTATATAAATTTGCAGATGCTTTAATCAGATTTCTGGGAAGTTCTGTTTTTAAAGATTTCTACAGGACGTCAAACAAAATACCAATCATCGATTTCTTAAATAGCGATGGTTCGTTTTTGATATTTTAGATCTTTACGCGGCATCTTATACATTTATCAGCGAGTTGTGGTGGCGTGGTGCATTGAGGCGAGTAACTACGTATTTTAATTTGGGACGTAATTCATTACGGCTCGCATCCGCCTACGCTTTCTCATAATTTAGATGTCACAAGGCTGGCGCTATACAGGGTGGTGCCTCGCGCAACGCAGCATAGGGATTTCAATGGTAATTTCTTTATAGTCAATTACTAGCCCCCCTAATTATTTTAGCGCAAAAGTCTAAATAAGTTTTTTTAGAGAAAAAATACTGCATCTGTTCATACTTTTAGTTATAATTTTCCATTTTTCAAAACCGTAGAAATCGACAAAACAAAAAATTAACATTTTTATAAATCAGTGATGCTTTGGAATCTTTTAACAAACTACAAGCGCATCGCATCTAAATTATGGTTGTTTGACGTCGAACGATTTTCATATTTAATTCTGTTACAACTATCCGATGCAAGAAAAAGCGGCAATTGGGTAATGTTTTTTAGAGAATGTATACTGCATCTGCATCAGATACTATTTGTTTATCAGAGAGAACCAGAGTACCTACATAATCGAAGAAAAAAAACTGATTTAAAGCAGATTTGTTCCTAAACTTATATTCGGATTTTCCGCTACTGCAGCCAAAACGTTGAATGTATTGTCGTTTTCCTGATGGTTTTGACGGACATTATGAACGTTATTGCACTTGCAGTTCTTTAACTAATTTATAAACAAGTATAAATTTAATAAACGTCAAAGGCAAATAATGAAACGTGATCGCTGTTTTTTTATGTAATTCCAAGGCATACTTGATTTATTGTAAAATGAACCTTTTTGTTTTGTCGATTTCTACGGTTTTGAAAAACGGAAAATTATGAGTAATAGCATGAACAGATTCAGTATGTATTTCTCACCTAAAAAACCTATTTAGACTTTTGCTCTAAAATAATTAGGGGAGCTAGTAATTGACTATAAAGAAATTACCATTGAAATCCCTATGCTGCGTCGCGCTAGGCACCACCCGGTATACAAGATGTAACATTTAATTACGTTTGTAAAAAATATTGATAGAATAGGGGATCAAAACAAGCGTTTTTTTTTCTAAACACGTAGAGGGGTCAAAATCGATACGCCCCCAATATTCCAAAATTGGCGTTACTTTGTTATTGTACACTAAAAAGCATCCACAATAATTGGCACAACATCAGAGGGAAAGTTGGAGTTTTGGTTCCGGTAAGCATGAAGTTAGCTTGAGCGCTATAACACTGATCTATTAAGCATTTAAAAGCACTAATGGACCTAGCCTTGTGAGCTGTTTAATTTCCGGTTTTATTGGCCATGATGGCGTTATCTTCTAGATCTTCAAACTTTACCAAAATTTTCATAATTTATGAATTTCCTCGTGGAAATTGCATAACGCATTGTCATTAAGACTTTCTATACTCTTCTCATATCGGTAAACGCCGATCGGCTCGTGTGATTCACGAAATTTTAACTGGAAAGTAGTCGAGAACACCTTAATGTCGCATTACATACTATTCCCCCCTGCTGTTGTATACAAAGACGCTAAATGAAAAAAAATAGGAAAAGTGGTGATGTTGTCAGACTTTCCCAATAAAATCTTTCAAGGTACCATAATCACTCCCTTTCAGTCCACAATAGACCAGTTGTGTAATATGCACATGACTTCCACCGAAGACAAACGACCTAAACAAGAAACAAAGGGGGGATACTCCTGGTGGGGATGGCGTCGCAGTCGCGCATCGCGGGAGGCGACCCCTTCCACCGATACTGTAGTAACCATTGACTTAGGGAAGACTGAAGAGACCAAAGACGTGGATGCACCCGTCGAGGAGGTGGCGACCACAAAAATTGAAATGCAACGTAAGTGTAATGCTTTTTCAATAATAATTTTGCTAAATTTGTTCTTAAATCAGTGTTGGAATCTCCCACAGTCGAAGATGGGTATTATGGATCTCAAAGTTCCGGAAGTGACCACGGTAAAGATGTCGTGATGGTGGAAGAAAAGCCGACCGTAAGCCAGGCGACTTCAGAAAAGTCTGATAAATCTGATAAATGTCGGAAAACGTTAAGGCTGAGCTCTATTCAAATAGTACGTGGATTCGAATTTGAATTTATTTTAAGTTAACAAATTCTGTTCCAGAAAAGTTTAAATTTGCGTGATGGAATGAATGAGGTGGAGTTTAGCGTAACTACAGCATATCAGGGAACCACTAGGTGCAAGTGTCACCTTTACAAGTGGAAGTGGGATGACAAAATTGTCATATCAGACATTGATGGCACCATCACAAAGTATGTAATAATACTCTTACCTCTCTTTTTCTAAAAGGACTTTTAGATCCGACGTGCTTGGTCACATCTTGCCAATCGTGGGTAAAGATTGGGCTCAGTCTGGCGTTGCTCAATTATTTAATAAAATAAAGGATAACGGTTATAAGTTACTTTACCTTAGCGCGAGAGCTATCGGTCAGGCACGCATTACGCGCGAGTATCTCAAATCTATAAAACAGGGGGATCTCAATATGCCCGATGGACCGATGCTTTTAAATCCGACATCTTTGATCACCGCTTTTCATCGGTACTAGTGTTAGTGGGCGAAGTATGCCAAACTGATGTATGTAATTTTAGCGAGGTTATCGAAAAAAAACCGGAACAGTTCAAAATTTCTTGTATGAGTGATATTAGAGCTCTGTTTCCTGCTGATTCCAATCCTTTCTACGCTGGATACGGGAATAGGATTAATGTAAGCGCAACATTTTTTGAATTTGAATACTCAAAATTTTTCGTTTGGAATCTTTTTAAAATCGCTTTACACAGTATGTTACTTATTTTCCAAAATACACTAACATTTCAAAGGTATCCTACTCTTTAACAAAAGTTTTAGAGCATTTTTCAAAGTTTCCAAAAAATTTTCTACATTACCATTTGTAGATTGAAAAAATTGTTAAACCTTGTATAAAAATTTGTATTTACAGGATGTGTGGGCATACAGAGCCGTAGGCATTCCAATAGTTAGAATATTTACAATAAATCATAAGGGTGAACTAAAACATGAACTGACACAAACTTTCCAATCCAGGTGAGTACCGAATTTGTTGTTTGGGTAAAAGTATTTGATGAAATTTGTATTAAGTGGGATATTCGTGTGACTTAAATCTGTTAATTGTTATTTATTTTTTCATTTTTACAGTTACACCGGTCAGTCTCTGGTTGTCAATGATGTGTTTCCACCTTTATTCTATAAAATTGTAATTGATGAAGAATTTAAAGACGATTTTAAGAGCTTTGATGCTTATTCTGTTGATTCAGAAACAGAGCTTTAACAAATACTGTTGATAATAGTAAAATTTGAAAACTGTGATTTTAAAGTATTTTGAAATATTTTATTTTCATATCAATCTAAGTATATATTTTATATAATACAAATTACGGTGATGCTATATTCAGATAGTGTACCTGATTTCACAGTCTATTGTGATACGTATTGCAGAGTAATTTTGATATTGTAATCTAGTCAGGGTTGGAATTGATGTACATCAATGGATATTGCTTATTCTGATTTTTTCAAATCTCCCGTTCCAGTGGTTTATTCATATACGGTAAGCTGTTACTTACTTTAAATCCATTTGCTTGCGCTTTCATTAACATTTTGGAATTCATCCACATTGAAATCACGGGAAATCTTACTAATATAAATTTCATCAAATCTTTAGATTAACAATGACTATTCCACATGGCACTCTGAACTTGTACAAACCTTAAAGGTGTCAAATAGAGCAACAATAATATGTAATTTTCTAGTACTACAGTTGGCAAAAACAAACTTGGTCACTGAATGCATGCGATCACGTTTCGCTCAATGCACAAAGAGATTTTACCAACTTATTCTCCTAGTAATTGTAAATGGGTCTTTTTTCCAGCTACTCCAACATGAGCAATTACGTGGACCAGCTGTTTCCTCCGTTACTCGAAGCCGCTAATGATTACTCTCAATTCATGTATTGGCGCGATCCAATTCCCAACATAACGGAACTCAATACAACGGACGCTTCCAACATTTAAGTACAGAAAGAGAAGCATTTAATGTTACGTATTTACTAGATTTGTGTAACGCTAACGTGCTGTTGCCGATTCATAGCTGACGTGTAGAATTTACAAAAGCTTACTGCTTATTTGCCGAAGTGAAGTACATAGTATTTATTTGCCATTCGCCACTGATAAAGCCACAACCGGCTCAGGTTGCTATAAGTTACCCAGATCAAGTTATTTTGTAGATCTTAGTTGAATAAAATTCATGTGATTTTTGCAGTACTTTTAGTTTTTGTTTCTCTATTGATCTTGTGATATTGACCTCTATTGTTAGATGTTCGAGTATTCCATTAATTAACTATAGTTTGTTATTGTATTTATATCAAAATATAAATTAAGCAAAAATAGGATTGTATTTTTTCTTGTTTTTGTAGAATGTGATAAAAAGTTCTCGGTTTTAACAGTTGAGAGAATTGTTCAAATGATTTTGATTATGTTCTATATTTTATATTAAAATGTGAGTTAATTCAAAATACATGGGAACGCTCAAAGGTTTTTTTTTCTCCAACTATGCAATAGTTTGCCAATACATTAATATCCAGTTATGAAAAAAATCGTTATCTATGAGAAATTACGTATGTGTTTACATTGTACATAATGTAAACAAGTTTCAAGGAATTTAAATTGTTTTACTACTTTTTCATTAGTGTTTTAGCTATTACCCACTCGAATAACCATTGTGTACCATATAATTCCAATTTTCTTTCATATTTAGCATGCGCTACCGTTTCCTACTATTTACCTCCTGTGAGTTTCCCCAAATTAATTCTATTAAGGTTTCCTATACAAGGTGTTTCATGTAAGTCTGTAAAAAAAATGTGTGGTGGAGGGAATCAAAACAAGCGAGGGTCCAATGTGTTTCGTTTGGGAATCAATCTTAAAGAAGTGGTGAAGTTTCCATTTCTTCTTTAATTTTTTCTTAGCAATAGCAGGTGGCACGTCTTTGAATGGATTTTCCTACTACGAGAGGGCTTTGAGCGATACATCTCACGTACGATATGTTATTTATCTAGAATGGGATCAAAGAGAATCTTTTTTAAAACACGTTTTTATTGGTACTATTGATCCCATTCTACATCGTACAACACGTTTAAAAATGGAACAATACATCAACCGAATGTTATTTATCGCCTCCCTTTCTATTTCAAGAATCTATTCATGCGCGTATTGTGTATCACCTCAGTGTGAACACTCCGCCTAATAGTTATAAAATGTATAAGTGTACTACAAGGTAAACTTATACTTTATAAGAGTGGAATATATCAACCACTTTGCTTATCCTAATGTCAGAGTAATTGCTGGTACCTAGATGGTTGTAGTATGTAGCATCTTCATCAGGAGACAATTGATTGTTACCTACGTACCTAATTAAATTTTTAGTCCACTATTTTGAAGGGATATGTTAAACTGAAAAAGACAACATTTTTAACTTTTTATTTAATTTTTAAAGTTAACTTATACGGTCTACTATATTTTACACAAATTTGAATCCAAATCCAAAGCTATATTTGCAGCCATATGCTTTACTAGAGTGTTTTACAGTATTATGTCTTTAATCGCATTGTAAAGGTACTGGTACCGGCACATAAGAAGGCGAGAGCGGTCTAAGCGCAGATGACCAATTTGGGGATGGCAGGAGGAGTTAACCGGCTCCGTGATATGAATAATGGGGATGTGTCATATTTCGTCTTCTTACATGTCGGCACCCAGTACCTATTTAAACGGTTTCAAGGGTTCCTAAAGTGTCTTAACAGCGTTACTGAAAACTTTTATAGGCTTCAAGAGTTTTGGAACCTTCATGGAATTTCTCAAAACGTTTTTAAGAGCACGTAAAAGCTTATTGGCCTATAAGAGCCTTTAAAATATATATTTCATAAAATTCACTTGTAGCAGCATGCGCTCTTATGTTGTGTTGCACAGACCAAGATGTGCACTAGGTGCCAAAACTTTTTCTTGCATACTTTCTCTATTATTTGCGCTATCAATAACCTAAAACAGCTGATTTCTTGTTATTTACGTTTAATATAAATTATTTATTTTTAATCCATGTAGGTATATGTACTTACATGAGGTGTGATAAAAAAAAGCAAAATTATCCACATCTGTGATAACATTATCAACTTCGTCATTCCTCCTCCATGAATTTATTTGGAACACATGATTACAAAATATTTTTTGAATTGTTTTATGAAAGTTCTTTAATCTTTTTGTACGCAGTCAATCATCAAAATTAAACATAAAACTGATAGAAATTACAAACAAAAGGTTTACCTATATTATTAGTCACGTGCCCACAAACTTTTATTTCTCAGTAAAACCAATACAGATTATGCCCACTGCCCAAAATACCTATTATATTCAGGCTGTTTCACGCAAACAAATCTGTATTCAGGCTCTCATTGATCATTTAAATCTGAGAATTTGCATAGTCTTTTATAATCTCTCAAATAAATATAGTATCATGATCGTTTCACTTCTAGTCCAGTCAAATAAGAAAAAATAAAATCATTAATCGGTAAAGATCTGAATTTTGGTACACATGTTTATTAGTGTTCCCCATTGGACATACTAAAAGTCCCCGTCAAAATCTGTTGCGCTCGAGGCGCCATCTTGGAAAAAAGGTGCACTCTTTCAGTTTTTTGCCTATATATCGGCAACCATTACTGATACGGAAAAATAGTTTAGATAAAAAATATAGTTTATTAAATTGCCCATATAAAAGCTTATTAACATTTTTTTGTATGTCCAATACTTTAGCTATAATCCGACATCGAATAGGGAATAAAGTATCCTGAACTCTCTAACAGTCGCGCAGATATTTTTTACAGCTCTATGAGCTGTAGGTATTATGAATGAATCACAAATCATTAAATTTATTGAAAATTCTGCTAGTATTTCTTATATATGCGAAAGTCTTTCCAATTAAAGCGTTGCATTCCACACGTACTAAGTGTAGCATTGTCTGAAACTCTATAATGTGGTGGAAGTGGTTCATCTGGGTTGGCATCACAGAAGCCGTCGTACTCAAGCTTGGTATGAGGCACGTTTAAAGGTTTCTCATAAAACTCTCTTAATAGAACTTTCATTTTCAATGTGAGCACTGACTGTGGACCGGGAGCCTTCAGTGTCCGAACAGGGTCAAGGAAATCGTGGACTCTCCTTCAACTCCACAGTTCGGGAGATTTTTCATATCCACAGAATTTTTGAACTTGCTGATTAACAAGGGGATAACAGTGCTAGATTCGGCTATCAGAAATCATTTTATTGCTCCAACAATTTTAAATATTTTCGCTTACCTTTTTGGAAAAAAACATGATGTATCACACCCAGTGAAGGCATGTGCAAACAAAATGTAATTCTGAGTCCCTTCATGTGATTGCAAGATACCCGAGAAATATATTTTTCGCTCAGTTATTCCCTTTCGTGGTTTCTTGAAAAACATATTATCCTGCGGGGCCAATGCAGTTAGGAGAACGAGGAGATCAATATCAGCGCTAACATTGACATTTGAAGGCAGAGATAATTCCATTCCGATCTTGACTATAAGGATATCGTCATCATCTTCAGCTTGTCTGAGCTCAAACCCTTCATTTCAAAATCTCTGCGATACCATTGATATCAATCGAAATGTGTTCTTCTCGCTTGATTTGAGTTACTGTAGGGGCCATAGTAGCATCGAACATTATGTCAGTGCTAGAATGCTCTATCGCACGACGATGCTGTTCATTTTTTGTTGCTGTTGCAGCTATCGGTGTAGCCATAATAAATGGCCTCCTTCCTACAACTACGAAACGGGGCCTAAACGCGTTCTAACGTATTCAACGCCAGATTACAGCTAAAGTATTGGAGATACAAAAAAAATGTAAATACTCTTTTTTGTAGGGAATTTAGTAAACTATATTTTTCATCTAAACTATTTCTTCGTATCAGTAATAGTTACCGAGATATGGGCAAAAAACTGGTAAAGTGTACCGTTTTTTTAAGATGGCGGCTCGAGTGCAACAGATTTTGACAGGGACTTTCAGTATGTTCAATAGAAAGTCCCAATAAATGTGTATACCAAAATTCAGATCTTTACCGATTAATGTTTTTATTTGCCCAAAATTGCGCTAATTTGACTGGACTATTCCTATTTTACCAAATATGGATAGTAACTTTCTTATTTTCAATAGAACACCCTGGTTTTATTACATTTTTGAAATGTATATGACAATCTACGTTGTTTGATATCACAATTCCCTATACCCATCAGCATCAAAGGTTAAGTTATTATTTATTATTTGCTTTGTAAAGGTATGCAAAATCCAAAAAACCAAAATTGATTCGTGCAACCAAAACCATGCATTTTTTCATAAGGAGAGATAAGGGTACTTTTGAAACCCCAGTGGCCAAACGTACCATATGGTATGGTATTTAAACAATGCTTATATAAGCATTGTTTAAATAAAGTATTTAAACAATGCTATAAGATACATCGGAAAAGCAATAATTTTTGTCAATTTTTTCTTCGTTTTTGCATGCTAAGGCTAGTAAGGAAAAATCTTGAATAACTTGAAAACATTTTGGTATGGGGAAATGTATTAACCACGTGTGACGTACAAGGGGTCGTTTTTATATTCCCGAACTAGGCATGAAGACAAAATTTTATTTTTCAGGTTCCCCTGCTTTTGAATGTAGGTATAACACCGTTTCAATATGACATCTTTAATCCAGTATAATTATTGATTTGGTTTTTCCGCAAAATGGTCCTCAACAGCTACTATATAAGTTCGTAATTGTGCCCCCCCCCTTAGTGTTTTTTTGAAATTCTGGAACAAAAAATAATCACTGATGGGTGCTAGATCTGGGCGGATGTTCAATTTGTTCGAAGCCACAATCAGCTACAGCAGCTTTTGAAAGTCTAGACTGTTGTGGACCAGCAAGATACCTTGTCTCAGTTTTCCGCGTCTCTCCTTCTGTGCTGTGTGGGACCTTTAGTCCCGGTCAATTAGTATGGGTAAAAAGTTTAATGTCACTTTTAGCTATTGTTGAGGTGGTAAAACGTTTGGAAATAGATAAACTGATTAAAAGCTAATAGCGAATGCTAATAACAGAGCCCAGGAAATCAAAGGCAGTGAATAACAGAAGTAAAACATTTGAGGGTGTGGAGAGGTGTGAACGAATGAAAATCCCAGGTAACATTGTAACATTTGCTTATATAGTTCCTAAGGGTTGCCCGTTGAGGATTAAGTACATTGGGATACTATGAGGGAACATTAGTGGCCAGTGAGTCATGATATCAGGTTATTTACCCTTATCATTAGGTGACGAATAACTAGCTTATCACCCTACTTGCTATTAATAATAGATAGTGTAGTTACTAAATTAATTTTGCGGAGTGCCGATTGAAAAATATAAAAAGTGCAAGTGTATTGATCTTTAAAATAGATCTTATTACAGCAGATGAAATCACGTACTAAATTTTGGTTTAAAAAATAAACTTTGGGACCGAAATAGAAATTTTAAAATAAATTGATTTTAAAAGTTTAATTATCCTTGACGAGTCCGCATGCGCGCGGGCCGCGATGGAGATAAAAGTAAAACTGAAACTTCATTGTAGTTTACAAAGTAACACTCGGTAGGCGTAACTTTTATTATTTTGGGTCATTTCTAAATTTGTGTTACCCATTTTACGTAATTAAATCGGATTTATAACAATGTCAAAATTAAACGATAGACAAAGCTACTCGCAAACGTACAAATTAGTGATTGTGGGTGGTGGAGGTGTTGGAAAATCTGCAATTACTTTACAGTTCATTCAGGTGAGTTTGAGAGGGTAGTTTATTTCTGACCCCCCCAATTTGTTAACAAGAGAAATTTTGGTAGAGCCAGATTTATTTATAGAAAATTTTGTAAATGTCTACACCTTGTCACTCTAAATAAGGAGAGAAATTGATAACCTTGCATAATCCTACACAAAATCTATTAATTAAAATGCCACAAATTATTAATTCGTTTCATTGCAGAGTTATTTCGTGACCGACTACGACCCAACGATCGAAGATTCGTACACGAAACAATGCGTAATCGACGATGTGCCTGCAAAGTTGGACAGTAGGTAACTTTCTATCGACAATAAACTCAATCCATCTCGAATTCCCTATTTTAAAAAAGTAGGTTTGCCTCTGCACCAAACCTACCTATTAATTAGAAATGTTAATCTTGCAAATTAGCACTTCCTTCCCATAAAATTTCCTTTTTACATTTAAATTATCAGCTTAAAAACATCCTACAAATCAACCGGAAATGCCAGGAATATAGTCACTTAGGTACCTATGCCTTTTCGTTTAAAATGAAAAACAACAAAAGAAAGTAGTCGCATTTTTCATGCTAAATGGCTTAGTGAAAACAGGTAACAAAGCGTTTTTGTGTGTACATAATTAAATTGTGAGTCATATAATTGCGGGCATGTTCCAGGAAATGGTAGATGTAATTGAAAAGAGTATATGTTAATCGCACATTTTTTTTCAATACTTGCCTTTGTTCTCTAGCTCTACCAGGTTTTGTTAAGTATTGTTTTATGATAAAAAAATCTGAGGCATTTTCCTTTTCGAACCAGCAGTATTTCTACCAGGCTTGAATGCTTGAGTTCCAGGCCTAGGGACAATGCTATATCAAAATGTGATAATGGTCCAAAATGAGAGGTTTGGCCATAGAAGTTTTGTGAGCGTGTAAGGCATTGGGTTGCAGTGGCAGCTTGCGAGTTCTAAAAAGAGTGGGCACAAGTAAAATCTTACCTACTGTTTTTGTACATAAAATCCATTCATCTATTTTTAAAAAAATTTCAAAATCAAATTTTTTACATTCATCAACGGATTATGAGATTTTCCGAAAATGCCCATGAAGGTGCTAACGGGAACTGTTCATATTCGACTGTTCAAGCTAGGGAAAATGAAAATGATTTGCAAAAAGTTACAGGAATCAACATAATCGTTCATGGTTGATCCATATGGACTTTGGGTTCTTTGATAGTCTGTTGTATTAGTTTATTATGGTAAGCATACGCAAATTGTATACAACAGTAGCAATAAAAAATCATTATTTCTGGCGTCGGGATGTGACGAACCCACCGCCCATCACCTTGTGGTGATGCAATCAGTCATGTGAGGCATCTAAGACCCCTTCTATCATAATACCTTTACCATAAAAGATACCGAAAGAAATATTACAACAAAATTGTACACAACGTCACCTGACCATGTTTCTAAAATATTATTGGTCACCAGGGGCGTGCTGTAATCCAGAGGCGTATCAAACTTGTGTGTTTTTTTTATGGAACACCCCATATTTTATATATTGCGCTCTTGATGTCTGTCTGTCTGAGTCACAAAGGCTCTGGAACTACACCACTTACAGACTTGGTATTGGTGTCATTCGATCAGAAATTAAAAATTATTTCATGCTTGTATTCTCGTTACAAATTGGTGTTTTAACTTGTTTTTTCTCTGAAATTATTTTATGGTGCATCAATGGAAATTTTACAGTTTCGGCTACCCAGACGTATAATTTGTTTAGGGGTGTGCCATTTGAAGTTTTTAAAAAATATGGCATTTTAGTAAGGTCAATCAAAAGTTTTATTTCTTTGATAAGGTACCTGAAAAAAAATTATGTGACAGTGGAAGACTAGGGTCTTAACCTTTGCCTCAATTCAAAACTTAGGCACTGGCGCGTTTCTCTCAACAACAGCGAAATTGTTAAAGTTAAATAGGTATGTTATCAAAAATTAAGTGCTTTCCAAATCTGCAATCAAGTATGGGGTGTTCCATTAAAAAAACTCAAGTTTGATACGCCACTGGAATACAGCATGCCCTTGGTGATCAACAATTTTTGAAAAATCATGACGGTAATTGTGTACAATTCTGCTGTAAGTCTTTTTCGATACTTTTATGATATACCCTCTATTTACCATTTTTTTTATTATCGTGAGAGACAACACACTTTTGGAATGCATATCTGCTTTGTTTTTTTGTGCTTTATATCCAAGGTAATACGCTGCTATCCCAAAACAAACTGTGGATTTAGTATCACGTAATTAATAGTGCTGTTGCACGGCAGGAACTGCAATTTGTTTTAATTGGAATTTTGGATTAGTTATTTTCATGCTAGATATAAAATTTTGATTATTAGGCTCACCAGGAGAGAATGCAAGTCACAGAACACTTGATGCTGGCCTACAATCGTATGGTTTACTATGAAAAACATACGATTGTAGACCGGAATCAGGTGTTCTGTGACCTGCACTCTCTCCTGGCAAGCATTATAAACTTTACTTACTTGTTTATTTTTAGACGCCTTAAATGACATAACTCACACTTATCTACGTTGAATAGCCACAAGTATATATTTGGTGGTTTTTGAGGTTCGTAATTGTTTTGTCATGTGTAATTTTGTATAAAAGAAGGAAGTTGATATTTTTTTTAAATTGATGACTTCCCAGTTTGAAATTAGTATGTCCTGTGCGCAATTCCAAACCTACGGAATCATGCCCCATAACGGTCCCGTCTGGTATCGCTTACAGTTCCGTTGTCTCGAGGGTATTAGCAATATTGAGGAAATTCTAAGATTTTTTGAGAAGTCTGTAACTAAGCGCATAATTGTCTTCCGCATGTAATAAATGAAACTCACGATTGTTCGAGAATGTTTTAGAGAATCAACAAGAGCAATAAAAAAAAACGGTCTTAAGATCTATTGTTCCCTATAGTTTTAGTCTCACTTCCTTAGAATGTTAATATCTTTGAAGAAATCAAGAATCTTCCTGGGAGCAGCATCTTGTAGCATTCCCAAGTGCATCTTCATTCATCCAAGGAACCTCCCAACACCCTCAGCAAAGTGGGTCTACTTTAAGACAGTGACTCGTCAAAAGATATACAGTAATACAAGGTGTTCTTAAATATAATGTACCTAGGGTTCATATCAGCAAACGCTTCGTGACCGATCTACAGCGTATTAAAATTTCACGTACTCTTTACAATTCAAGAGAGAGGGCCCTTTATCTTTCTCTCCCTCTTTCGCTTGATTGGTAGGCATACTCATAGGGACACATACCCCATAGCAATACTGGCCCTAAAGAGTATGCCTACAGGAATGCTGGGAAAATAACAAATTTATATAATCTCTGGTTTATTTATTGTTAGTTTACGTCATTTTTTTCTTGTTAAAATTACCAATTTCGTACGCATTTAATGTGATATGTATTGTTCTTCAGTTTTAGACACTGCAGGTCAGGAGGAATTCAGCGCTATGCGAGAACAGTACATGAGATCGGGTGAAGGCTTTCTATTAGTATTTTCGGTAACGGAACGTTCGAGCTTCGACGAGATCTTTAAATTTCACAAACAAATCTTAAGGGTAAAAGATCGAGATGAGTTTCCAATGCTTATGGTCGGAAATAAGGTGAGTTATCTACATTTAAATATGTTACTTTACTCAGTAGGTAATTTTAGGTCGATCTGGAACACCAACGAGTGGTCTGGCAGGAGGAAGCGCAAGCGTTGGCCCGACAACTCAAAATTCCTTATATGGAATGTAGCGCGAAGATGAGAATGAACGTTGACAATGCGTTTTACGAATTAGTACGCGTAGTTCGTAAGTTTCAACTATCGGAACGACCACCTCTTAAACCGAATTACAGTAAAAAAAATAAGAAAAAGTGCTGTGTGCTTTAATTGTTTAGGTTTCGCTACTACTCTCATAATAATTGCATATCCGTATTTTTCTAACGAACAATCTAGCTTTAATTCTCTTACATAGGCGTTTTCTTTCGGCCTGTGCAAAAACACTACAATGATTAAATCACGAATGGAGCTGATTCAAGCCAAAGAAATCGCTCAAAGTTCACGATGCAGATAAAGGCAGTAAGGACACTGTCCGTCAATTTTTTGTGGTAACAGAGAGAATTAAATTATTGTGTATATAGAAGCGGATACTCATTATAAAAATGGTGGTGTAGGTGTAGGTTAAGTGTTTTATCAACGAGTTGCTCTGTCCATACTGCCTTTAACTGTAGGTACTGGGTTTCGGTGCTTGATACAATTGACGACGATTATAATGGATCAGTCTGTTTGGTAAATCATTCTGTAAATATTTCGTATCAAAACCATCAAAAAGTGGCTCAATTTGCTTTTTGATGTTTGACGGTTGGAGTTTTAATTTACTCTTGCAGTGCCATGCTGGTCTATGGGGCTGCAGGGTGCCAGTTTCGGTTCGTGTTCGTGAAGAAGACTCATGGAAAGATTAGTCCTCTACAATTTATCTTTGATAAATTCTTTTTTCAGTTTGCTTTTAATTTAATTTTTAATGTTAGTTTTTGAACGTCACGCATTTATAATCAAAATATCCACAGTTCACCAATGGAACCTTTTCTAAAGGGCAACCAGCTCCAGATAAATAGCAACAGCAGTATAGAAAAAAATTATGATTGGGGTTGCATAAGACATCTTTGAAATTTAAATCTGTCAAAAACAGTTAAACATAGGCTCTCATTGTATGTAGAATTTTACATAGAATCTAAGTGTAAGAAATCTTTGAGATATGGCTAGGGCATTTGTCATGGGCCACCCTCTATAATTGCTTTAATGACATATCTGGGGAGTGTGTGATGTGACAATACATGAAAGTACTGATTTTTTTCCTATACATATAAATAAAGTAGTTTTGGGAATAAACAAATCGATACTGGATGTCCTTTTCAAGAAATTATTTCTTAAGTGGATAATACACAGGGTGTATCCCCTGACAGTATGTGAAATTGCTGTTTCCCATTGTGAGATTATTAAACCGGTTCTCCTTTAGTTCTGTACATTATACTAGGAAGATGTACCAAACAGATCGCTTACTTTAACGCTCATTTTATCATGTTGGCAAAGATTATTTTTATATTATCTGTTTTGCATTGCCAAATAACAGATTGGTGTACTAAAGCTTTAAATAATGTTAATGTTTTTTATTTTTATTGCTTAGATATAATTAAGATATATCATATAATAAGCATATGTTTTAAATGTAACGTTGTTGTGCATTCCTTTAAAAAAATTACTATTTTTTCTGCTGTTAATTATCGTGCCAAGGCAATGTTATGTTATAACACTGCTTTCTCCGCAAGAAGCTTTACATCAAAATAGCTTTAAGAGAAAGTCATCGGCCACTTGCCACAAATAGTCAAATAATTGATCTCCGATAATTTACACTTGCCCTGTCATTTTTTTTACATTAATGTTTGACAACTTTCGCAAGTGGTCTTATAGCGTAGTTAATTCCTTTAAAATAGTGCCTCTATTATAGTTTTTACTTGAGTAATTTAGAGTGAACAAACACCAAGTTTATTTTTATAAAGAAATTGTATTTCGCCTTACTTATTATCGTATCTTGTATTATTCGAACATATAAAATGTGTAAGGCTGTCTTAGAATTTAACGAACATTGTCTTAATGTGCAACACCAACTCACATTTTTATGTGTAGTGTCATTTGACGCACTGACGTCGGCGCATAGGTAGAGAACTAAACTTTGACACAGCCGATATCTTAGGATTCAACGGTTTAGTTCTCGGTATGCTAATTTTTTATAGCTGAAAAAGTATCTTTCTAGTGTTAGTATTTATTTATTTATTACAATAATTGATTTATTCAAATTTTTGGGTGAGCAGACATTGTAATTTTGTTTATTTCTAAATTTTTACAGGCCATCTTTGAATCTCTTGTGTATTGAAAAGGTGGCCCCTAGTAAAATAGCAAAGTGGTACACTGCCAAGATAGATTTATGTCAACTGCCCGTTACTTAGGTAGTTAGATATACTAATTGTCAATTAAAATTTAATTCTAAGGTCTTTATAGTAAATGCTTGAAATACTAACATAGAAAGTAAGAGTATTGAACTTGTTTCTTGCATCGGTCTACTATTCAGGCAGCTGTTTAAATTGTCCTCCTTTACTAATGTTGACAATATTAATCAATTAATTTATTGTTTGTAAGTGTATATAAAAGTAGTATATGTGCCATAATTTTAAGCATGGTCATTGTTATTTCAGGTTGCGGTGTGTGGAATACCTGTGATATGGAATGTTGTTGATCATATGACAGATATAAGCATTTATATTCACACACAGTCTACCTAATAGTTACATTATTACCATCCTTTCATAAGGTTGAGTGCTACAGTGTATGTGTGAATACTAACTAATGATTACAGTATATCGTCTACTTTAATTTATTGACACAAATCTACCAACAGTGAAGCTAATAAAAAGTACAAATGGCTTTATGTCTGTGAATGTTAAGCAATAGTTGTAACAGTCTTGTATTGCGCAAACTAATTTTAGTTTTTGTTTATATATACTTGTAAAGCATCACAATTATATAGATATGAATGATGCATTACGTTTGTTAACACTGTCTGTCTTTCTACAAAGTGAATTGGTCAACATATGGTCTTGGTGTTTTTCTTTGTTCATCTTGTCCGCATAGAAGATTTTGGAAAACTCAGGATTTTCCATTGCTTTTCAAAACAATGCAACATTTTCCAGGACATTTTAAACAGTTCAGAGCTCATCTACCTTCTTGAAAGTCATTAGCAAATTGCTAAAACGTTCAGGAAAGCACTTGAGCAACTATTTTGTGTAAACTAGAAAATTTGGGTCTTCTAGCGCTAATGGAAGCACTTGAAAAAACTTGTGGCGTTCGATGATTTTCCGGAGCAGTCTGAAATTTGACAACCTTCTTGGCACACTTCCTAGAGTTTTAGGTACAAGTTTTTTACCCCTCTATGTCTCGATCCTTTCCAGAGTGTAGTCATTTCAAAAAATTTCTAAGGGATTCTCAGAACTACACCTTTGCAAAGACTTTTGAGACCCTTTTGAAAGCGTCCTGTCCCGTCAAAGTGGGCTAAGAAAAATTATTAAATCTGTATAGGACTTCAACCCAGCGTTCAGTGCAATGCAGCTCAATCTTAAGTTTTTTTTACTCAGTTTTCTGTGATAAGTTTATTCAGATTACTTAATCTGGCACAGCTTCCAGATAGGCAAAGGTAACCATTAGAAAATCGACCTATGTACAATAAATACGCAAAACGTTTTATTTACATTAACTATTCGATAACATACAAAAAATTACGCAATAGCTTTTTTAACATGATATAAACCAGCAAGTGCATCTTGCAGTGCCCTCATACAAGCAATACTCGACACAAAACCGCCAGCTCTCTCTTGTTCTGTCTCTGTTCTAATGTGTACGTTATATCCCAGAGTTGACAGTTCTTCCTCCACAGGAGGATAAGGCCCATCTGTTACCATACCTTGTGGTTTATAAACGAAAAGTGGCCCCTCTTCAATCGAAACTGGCAAGAATGAAGACTGATTTTGACGTCCGAATTGAATACCAGTCGAAAATTGTGTCACTTTACTAGCCGGTTTAGTCTCGACTTCCTTAAATTCCTTGACCTGCTGTGTAAATGTCTCCACGATATTCTGCGCGTTGGCATTCGAAAACATTAGCTCATCGATTAGCGCCTCTTTTTCACGTAGTTTCTTCTTCTTTGTCTTCATTTCCTCTAATTTTATTTCGTTTCGTCGCGATAACTCGCTTTGCTTTTCGATTTCCAACAGTTCTTCCAGTTCATACTCCTCACGGCTCATCTTGTTCTTGCTTTTCATGATTTGCTCCCTGTTGCTTTTTTTATAGTCTTCAATTTTCTTGTTGGTATTAATCACGTCGATATTGTTCGTTAAGTTGTAAATTATCGTTTCGACTTCCTCCAAGTAATCGTTGTAGTCTCTTAATGAGGAGAAATCCTCCTCTTTTTTACTGAAGTCTCGCAGAACTCTTTTTCGTATGTCGACCTCCTTCTCCACTGTCGCGTCTTCGAAGAGCTGCACGCGGAAATTGTTTCGGCGTAGAGCGATACGGCAGTCGGGGCACGAACCGGAGCCTTTTAGGAAGAGCAAGTCGACACAGCTTTCGCAGAGGGCATGGCCACAAACGTTTACCATCATTTTTAGTGATGGATTTTGAAATTTCGTCGTTTTGCATCTTGGACAAATTGTGTCTTCCATTTTAAATACTTTTTTCGAAAATAATTTCAACAACTTTTAAATTTTACTACATAACCTCAAACAACTTCGAATTTCAGAAATGACAGCTTGACAGCACAGCAGAAATACATGTTGCCAAATTAAATAACATTTGAAGTATATACACGGTGATTGAATCGACGAATAGATGCGTATTCCTGGTCTGTGGATGCGTACTCTTAAAATACACAATTCATTTATTTATTGTCCCTCTCTTGTTCTGAGCCCTCAACAGGCTTTCGCTCAATTACAGAGTGATCCGCATAATGCTTTTAATAATAACTCTTTTATTATTAGCCTACAATTACTTATTATTTATGATAAATCACTGGGGGCCCGTCACAGAACCGAGTTTGACCTCTGACACCACCACCGCGGACGTTGATCCTTTGATTCCAAACTCGGTATGCATAAAAATTACCTAAATTCTTTACAGAGCCTTCTAATCCATTTACATAGGTAACACTCCATGCGCTTTACAAACCCAATTTAAGTTTACCTAGTACCGGCTAGATTATATAATATATGGAAGGGGTGTAAAGAACCCCTATGGAAGAAAGGTATTAAGTAGTTCTCATAGTCTCCACGTGCACGTCTAAGTGCTTGTTTACAATGACCGTATACGTAAGAAATACATAAAACTTAAAAATTTCGCAAAGTTGAACTGTATAGAAACATACGAAGGTGTTTATAATGGACGTAATTTTTACGTACGTATACGTAAGCGATATGGAAGTCAACAAACACTAATCGCGTTTGGTATGGCACTTATCACACTCGTGTCAATTGCTGGTTAAATAATATACTATTCACCGTGTATACAATAATTACCATCTGACCGTAAAACGGCAACGTTGCATGACTCACGTCTACAGGATGAAGGTCAATATTTTTGTATGTGAAGTAATTTTGTACGTGTAGGACGTGGATCGATCCCAGTGTCTTTTTAATTTAAATTAAATAATTACAATGTTTACTCTAATTTATTTGTAGAAATAAAAAATGGTAGATTCCTTAGAAGTCGGTGACGGTGCGCCGGAACCGCAAAATGTACCAATCGTCGATTTTACAGCATTCGCGAATTATCTTCGCAAGGCGGCGACTCTTCTCTTACCTGAAGATGATGCACACATGGAACCACCTGCGCTCAATGCTGCACTCGAAGATAAGAATAATCAAGAATACATTCGGAAATTCCTGAGTGACCCTCAAGTTTCCATTCTCTACGTGCAGAGAAGTTCCTCTAAAGGTAACCTTTAACATTTATCAACTTGCTCATTGTCGGTTTTTAATAGAAGATGAAAATGACCAACCACCCGAAGGCGAAGAGGAAAAGGAGCCTATCGCGTATCACATTAGCAACGAGGTGCATTACACAAATGGTCGAATGGCCAGCTTAGTGATATTGAAGAAGGCCGCCGTCCTCGAGGCGGATAAAAGTATTCGTGCACAAGTTAGAATAATCAATTTCAGTGATGGATCTCCGTATGAAACTCTTCATGCTTATATAAGTAAATCTGTAGCTCCGTATTTTAAATCGTATGTCAAAGAATCTGGACGAGCTGATAGGTAGGTGTTTGGTTTTGTCTAAGTTACAGTTTTTGCTGTGATATTTTTTTTTCATTTATTGAGCTTACATCATTAGTACTAAAAGATGCTTGTGTGCAACCCAAAGGAGTGAGGTTGAGACAGAAAACACTGTGTGTTCTAACATAGAATCCTTTCCCATTCATTATTACATTGGCACTTCTATGGCAGCAACTGAAAATTTTCTATAAACTATGATATTGATTTTGTATGCTGTACATTAATCAACAAATTACCAAGGCACCCAAAAATTGGTTTGCCTTCAATTCAACCTCTGTATTTCGATTTAGACAATTCCTGGTGTGCAGTCTTACCTAATACCCTTTGTAATGTATTTTGGTTTTGTTTTTTAGTTTTCTAGCTTTATCTAGATGGCTATTGCCATCACAGTTTTTTCGACATATCAAAATTTCATCAAATGTCGATGATTTAGATTCATTTGTATTATCCAATTTGTGCTCTAGACTTCACCTGAATCTATACCTTCAATTATAGGAAATTTACTAGCCTGCATATGCCCCAATATGATAATTATGATTCTTATTGGGTCGGACATATCCTCGGGCATATCTTTCTGTGGTAGATTACTTTTTACTCAAAATGAACAAAAAAGACTTTTGAGATGTGATTTTTTAGCGCATTTGCCAACTCTTGTTTTAGTTTTTATGGCCCTTGATTGATGACAAAATATTACGAATTTTTTGTCCACTCGTATAGCTCGGGGCAGTACGAAAATGGACAAATTCAATTAGTTTTTTTTAATTTATTTATTTTCATTCAACTCTCGTTTATTTGGGTACCGCCGAGGGGATTTTCGCAAGGGAATTTTAGTGTACAATTTTTAGAAATTAGTAGAGAAGTCTCGAGGTAAGTAGAGGAATTGGTGGGGAATTAAAGCAGTTAGTGGGAATTACTAATAGAATAGTGGAATTAGTGAGGAATTAGAAGAAGCAGGAAACAAATGAATAGTCAACGCGCAACGCTACTCTGGTATTGCAGATCGCCGTCACGTCGGCTTTGATTTTGGTTCATCAAATGTATAGCTACTAGTGTATACAGGGTGAGTTTTTTTTTTATTTTCACTATGGGGATCTCGTAAACCATAATAGATACAAAGTCGCTTAAAACACTTTCTATCACTTATGGTTTACGAAATCTCCATAGTGAAAATTAAAAAACTCACCCTGTATATATCACAGCTGACTCGTCCGCCATTTTGGAGCCCACTGACAATTCAAACAAACTTGGATTCATGTTTTTTTTAGAAATTTAGTAGCTCAAATTTCGTTTAATCATTGGCATAATTTACCAATATTCCACAGTGTGGAAATGCCAATTTTGATGTTTTGAATCTTATCTGCTTGCACACTCGCTTCTTATTTGAAAAAAAGACCTTTTGGTTTCTTGTAGAATCTCTAGTTAGATTCTACAGGCTTAAGTACTATTTGATATGAATCTGCTCAAGTCGAGCATATCTTTTTGTGGTACTTTAAGGAGTGTGGTAATCATCAATGTAGTGAAACGTGCGTTACGTTATTAACAGGGATGGTGACAAGATGGCCCCCACTGTTGAAAAGACAATTGCAGAACTAGAAATGGGTCTACTACACCTACAACAGAATATCGACATCCCCGAGATAACCCTGCCGGTCCATCCAACTGTGGCGAGTGTGATCAAACGTTGTGCGGATGAATCGCGGAAATCGAAAGTGGCCGACTTTGGAGACAAGGTGGACGATTCCACATTTCTCAACCAACTTCAGAACGGCGTCAACAGATGGATTAAAGAGATTCAAAAAGTGACGAAACTAGATCGAGATCCTTCATCCGGGACCGCGCTTCAAGAAATCAGTTTCTGGCTCAATCTGGAGCGCGCCCTTCACCGCATACAGGAGAAACGCGAGAGTATGGAGGTTTCGCTAACTTTGGACATTTTGAAACATGGCAAACGGTTTTTGGCCACAGTGTCGTTTGATACCGACACCGGTCTTAAACAAGCGATCGCCACTGTTAATGATTACAATCCACTGATGAAGGTAAACGTTAGTAATGCCCTCGCAAAGTTCACATAGTTTTCTAGGACTTTCCAATAAATCATTTACTTTCCGCCACTGAACTGGAAAGAATACGTGCAGCGGTCCAACTTATTTTTGCTCATTTGAGAAAGATTCGTAGCACTAAATATCCCATTCAACGTTGCTTACGACTCGTTGAGGCTATTTCTAGGGATTTGTGCGCCCAGCTTCTGAAGGTTTTGGGAACGCGTCGCTTAATGCATATTCCCTTCGAAGAATTTGAGAAAGTTATGACGCACTGTTTTGAGGTGTTTTCTACTTGGGAGGATGAATACGAGAAATTGCAAGCTTTGTTGAGGTAAGATGGGTCACTTTTAATTGCAACAAATAGATATTTTGATTCCATTTTTCATCGTTTAGGGATATTATTAAGAAAAAAAGAGACGAACACATGAAGATGGTGTGGCGTGTCACAGCCCAACATAAAAAACTTCAAGGTCGTATGGAGCACATGCGCAAATTCCGAAGACAGCACGAACAGCTTCGCACTGTAATAGTTAGAGTGCTTCGTCCATCTGCCAGACAGGCTGCCGCCATTGCAGAAGGGGAGGAGCTTGAGGTTAATAAACAAGACACATTTTCGCTGGATGCTTCCGACGCAAATGCGATTGAAGTTCGTGAATTACAAATATTTGTGGCGTGTTGTAATTGGCTTGTTGACAGGAGGTGAATGTCGCGTACGAAAATGTGAAAGAAGTCGACTGCTTAGACATCTCGAAAGATGGCCAAGACGCGTGGGACGCCGCCGTTCAACGTTACGAAGAACGCATCGACAGGGTCGAAACTCGAATAACCGCGCATCTCCGCGATCAATTGGGAACCGCTAAAAATGCGAATGAGATGTTTAGAATCTTTTCCAGATTTAACGCCCTCTTTGTTCGGCCGCACATTCGAGGGGCGATACGCGAATACCAAACGCATTTAATTCAACGGGTCAAGGATGACATAGAATCCCTGCACGAGAAATTCAAAGTACTTACTTCGATTGCTTCGCTTTTGTCTATCACGTTCGATTTCTAGGTGCAATACCCTCAGAGCAACAGCGCCCGCATAAGCAAAGTACGCGATATCCCTCCCGTTTCCGGTTCGATCATTTGGGCGCGTCAAATCGACCATCAACTCACAACTTACCTGCGCCGCGTGGAAGACGTCCTGGGCAAAGGATGGGAAAACCACATCGAGGGTCAAAAGTTGAAGGCAGATGGCGACAGCTTTCGAATTAAACTAAACACTCAAGAAATATTCGACGAGTGGGCCAGAAATGTGCAACAACGAAATTTGGGGGTGTCCGGTCGCATTTTTACCATTGAGGCGGTACGTTCCAGGAGTGGACGAGGAAATGTGCTAAAGCTAAGGGTCAATTTTCTTCCCGAGATCATAACCTTAGCGAAGGAGGTCCGAAATTTGAAATGTTTGGGTTTTCGAGTTCCGTTGGCCATTGTCAATAAGGCTCATCAGGCCAATCAGCTGTACCCGTTTGCGATTTCGCTTATCGAAAGCGTTAAGACTTATGAAATGACGCTAGAAAAGGTATGTTGTTGGGTATTTTATTAGGATATAATTGTTAAATTAAGAAAAGGAAATCATAAATTATTTATTAGTTAAATTTTTTATGATGATATCTTTTGTATCAGACTAGGACTTGGCCATTAATCACGTGATGATTTTTAGCAACTTTTAAACCCCTTCTCTCCCTGGTGACACGTGTTGAGATTTACGATTAACCTCCCCCCTTCCATAATCACGTGTATTTTTTTAGTTTAGGTTTAGAAATCGCGCGTTTTAGCGAAAAATTATCTCAATTCACCCTTTCCTCGCTTATGACATTTCGTGATTGTTCGCCCCCCCCCCTGCGGGAGTCACGTGATTAATGGACTAAACCCCCCCCCCCCCCCCCCCATTAGGTAAAAATACAAGTAATGGATGAATCTCAGGATGGTTCCAAAAATTATTTTGTTTTTTTAATCGATTAATCCAAATGTGGTATCTTGTGACAACAGATTTTTTTGATTTAACAGCTTTTTAGGGAGGCGGCTTGTGGAGCATTAATAATTGTACTGTTTTTTTTTAATTCATATTTGTGTCCGTTGGAATGCCATCTTTATAATATCAGTTAATCTACTACCTAAGTCGCCAAATAAATAAACAAACTTATATACCTTATGTGAGGGATGCGCAATATGCCGCCATTTTGAATTTTAGGTCCCTTTTTAAATTGTTCTTTAATATCTCGAAAACAATCAACTTTTTCATAAGCACTTATATTTACAAAATGAAAGCTCATTAATTTTCCTACAACAAACTTATAAAAAGTCCAGGAAGTCTAGTTCCAATTATAATTTCTTTACAAAACCATGTATGCGCAATAGACAACTTCCTGATTTATGAAGTAATTTCATCGAAATTTTTGTTGTAGTCCTCTAATAAAAACAAACAATGAATGTGCCAAAAAAATTTGTTCTCTCATTCATTTAAAGTCGTAAAGTTTGAAAAAAATTATAAATTTTGAAAGGTTGTATGTATCTCAGAAACTATTGGATCTATAGAGACACTTGAGGTCTCATATTGTAGCAAATTGAGTCTACTTTAAAAACGTGCTGCGTAGGTATTATTGAAAACTAGATCTTTTATGGTTACAACCGCCAAAATCTGAAAAAAAGCCGAATATTCCGCAGTTTTTTCGATTTTTGACAAAATTGCATCTGGCGCCCGATGCCACAAACTTGGATTATTCATTGGGCCAACATCCTAAACAAATCGCCAAAAATCAGAACTACCGAAAAACTGTTTGTACATTTCTTGTATGAAATTATTGAAGAGGTTTCATTTTGTAAATATAAGTGGTTATGAAAAAGTTGATAGTTTTTCAGATATTGCGGAAAAAAAGGGATCTAAAATTCAAAATGACGGCATGTTGCGCACTCTCCACATTGGGGTTTTTGGTTATGTTCAAGAGGAAGATTCATAGAAATTTTTTTACATTTTTGTTTACCCTAGATTGATTGGACAGATACAATATTTTCAAGTATTTGAATGCTACTTTTTTGCATCAGTGGCGTACGTAGAAATGTATTCTGGGGGGGGATTAAACAAGTTCGTGGCACATGCAGTCACCCAGTGCGTACTAGAAAGGGGGGGGGGTAAGAAATAGAAATTGGGTTGCTGATGCTGGTAGTCATTTATCTATTTATTATTGTACAGGCGAAAAAGATTAGATTAGAACGGTATTTTATTTCTTACTGCTGACAGGCCCCTTTATTGCTTTTGCTTTAATTAGTCAACGAAAACTTTGAATAATAGGTATATTTATGGGCAAAAAACCAATTTCGACAAAAAATTCAAAGGGCTGTAACTTTTGATCTAGTAGTCCGATCTTGGAACTGTTTGGAATTATGGATTCTACAGGCCACATTCTATAAGAAAATATTTTTTTCCGGTCGATCTGAGACAATTTTTTTTTCTGGGCAAAAAAAAGGCAGTTCTTCCTTTTTTACCAAAAATCGACTGCACCAAAATTTCTCGGGAAAAAACTTTTTCTTATTAATTTGGGTGCGTAGAATCCAAAACGATTCGTACTTTTTCGATTAGACGTCTCAATCAAAAGTTATGGGCAAAAAAATTCCTGTTTTTAAAATTTAAAATTCTTATTTTCGTCATTTCGTGAAAGGCAGGACGCAGGTACCTCACCTCAGTAGCAGTACTAAGTACCTGATACCTATTTGTTATTTTGGGCATCAATGTAGCGAATTGCCGATCAATGCCGAATAGCCAAATCGTTGACTGCCAACACTGATCACTCACTGAATAGTGAATACTGAATACTACAGAATATTTAGATTTTAGTGACTTTAGACTTTAACCAAAACCAAAATTGCTCTCTATATATACCTATATATTATTGCCTTTATTTTAAAGTGGGCGGAGCGGATAGCGGAGTATTACCTAAATACCTAATAGCTATGATGATAACTCAATTCTTCTGGGGGGGATATATCCCCCCCCCCCCCGTAAATACGCCACTGTTTTGCATACCATAGAGTCTAGTACAATGTTAATATAGCAAGTTTTATTAATACATTAGCTAGCGAAAGGAAATAGTATCCAAACTTCTATAAAGGTAGCTTTATGTAAACGAAGCCAAAATAGTTGTTGCTTATTTGCATGTACCTACTTGTCCAATATTTTTGCTCGTATCGGGCATGACCCTTGTATTGTGTACTATGGATAAAAAAAGATTATTATCCATGGTACCGAAAAAGTACTGCATCAAATTTTGATACCCTTTGTAAACCGATCAGTAAAGCTTCTGCTAATTTATGCATTTAGAACTATAAAATAAAATTAATTGCTAGCGGTGCATGAGTATGTCTTATGTTGTAAATATCTTCCTGATGAAATCTGCTGCATTCAAATTCATAGCTCACAATTGGGTTCACCGCATTTGAAATTAACCAAGATATCACCAAAAAACTAAAAATGTCAAATTTCATTTTCATTTTCCGTAGCTGGAAGTGGGCGGTCCCCGTTAGCGCCTTCTGTGGGCACATTTTTTCGGAGAATCTGAATCTGCTATCAGCATTTCTAAAACACACTACATGTAGAAACTACAGAGCACTACTTTCTTATTTTTTATGGGCGCCATATTGGATTTTTAATGCATTTTTTTAGTCACAAAAAGGGGCAACTTTGCCCTTATTTAAGGTACACTATTTCTGCCACTGTTACTGCGACCCCAACAGTGAGCCACGAATTTGAACCTCTCTGTACATTTTTTGTGTGCATAAGTTAAACTTTACCCATCACTTTAGATCGAAGATAAGGCGAGTATAATACCACTCGTGGCAGGCATGCGGAAGGAAGTGCAGCTGTTGATTGCCGAAGGAATTCAACTTGTTTGGGAAAGTTACAAACTGGACCCTTACGTGCAACGACTTTCGGACGCGGTCGTCAGCTTTCAAGAGCGGGTGGAAGAATTGGTTGTAATAGGGGAGCAGTTAGAAGTTGATGTTCGATCACTCGAAACATGTCCATACTCCGCCAATACGTTTGCAGATATTTTGGCAAAAATTCAACATGCTGTTGACGATCTATCCTTAAAGCAGTATTCCAATTTGCACATTTGGGTCAGTCGCCTGGACGAAGAGGTACTATACGGTTTTGTTTTATTATCCCGAGCTTGTAATAAAAATGGTTTACAGGTCGAGAAGAATTTGGCTCGCCGTCTACAGGCAGGCGTGCAAGCTTGGACGGACTCTCTAAACGGGATCAAAAACGAAGTTGACCACAGCATGGACACCGACGCGCCTACACATCCAACGCACAAACCCGGCGGAGATCCGCAAATACAAACCCTCATTCACGAATTTAGAATCACCAATCAGACCATGTACTTATATCCTAGCATCGAGGAGGCTCGATTCCAAATAATGCAGCAGCTGTTCGCGTGGCAAGCGATCGTTATGTCACAACAGAGATTGCAAAGTAGCAGATACCAGGTGGGCGTCGATAAGCCCATTACCGAGACGTACAGAAATATTTTAACCAAATTCCCCGCGGGCGGTACACCTATCGAGAACGCATATAATGCGATTGATCAGAAAATTAAAGAAGTGCAGAAGTACGTTAAAGAATGGCTCAACTATCAGTCTCTGTGGGATCTTCAACCCGATAATCTTTACGGCTGTTTAGGAGAAGATATCAATAAGTGGATGGTGTGTCTTAATGACATCAAGTGAGTAAAAACTCAAGAGTACTAAATGTGTGTTCATAATATTTGTAAATGATGGAACCTGCAAGGGTTTTTGGGTCAATGCTATGTTGCCTGAATGCAATATTTTCTTTGCCAAACTAAAATGTTTCTTTAATTTGCGCGCTCATCATCTGTGTATTATGACGTCATCACTAAGTATGTTTACATAGCATCTTGCAGATAATGGAAGAGAATACATATGTAGGCAGCCATACAGACATTGCGCATTGTAGGCCATTTACATCCACGACTTCTATTAACTAATTAATTAATTAATCAAAAAATGTTTCGGTAGTTATTTGTAAAAGGTTGTCTTTGTCGTAATCTTTTACTAACAAGGTGGACATTATTACTTGGACGTAAAGGAAAAACTTAAAAAAAATCAATTTAATTGATTTTTCGTACTATCAACATCGCTAACAGGTTTTTTACATTGTCCTGTTTTTTTAGGACTTTCTAGAGGTTTGCCTGATTCAGAAATTCGTGAAATAGAAGTCACTGCGCGCAGGCTAATATTTATGTGCATCTACAACTCTCTGTGAAATGAAACTTGTTACGTATACAAATTCATATATTACTGAAGTAACCACTCACCTCTCTTACTGCTGCGACTGGTAAAAGTGGAGCACCATTATCTCTTTCTCATTCAAACTAACCAGAGATTAGAAAAGTTGCTTACTTTTTCTTGGTAAACCCGATGGCAACTTTTAGCACAGAATATCGCAGTGATAAGTTATACTTCTATAATTGTTCGTTACGAAACTAACGAATGTTTTATCAGCTAAAGCACTAAAACGTCTAACATAAACACGTAATTCCAACGTTTATTGTGGTTTAAAATGATTTTGCTTATTTTGTTAATACGTTGGCATTACAATATTCTCCAAAATCAGAATTGAATACATGCGTGCAAACTAAGGAAAATTCTACTTTAGTAATGGTGAAGTTGATTATCTCTGTATTTAAACTGTTAGTAAAACTGGCAACATTGGCAAAAAAAAGCGAATATAGCATCGACTCCCCGTTATATTTGCCACTCTTGTGTTTTTATTTTATTATAAATGTTCTTTTAGGAAAACGCGCACTACCTTTGATACTTCAGACACAAGACGCCAATTTGGTCCCATCGCCATCGACTTTGCAAAGGTGCAAAGCAAGGTCTCGTTAAAATACGACTCTTGGCACAAGGAGGTGCTAAGCAAATTCGGAACATTACTAGGAAACGAAATGTCCACATTCCATACTCAAGTATCGAAATCGCGCTCCGAATTAGAAATGCAGAGCATCGAAGCAGCGAGTACATCGGACGCAGTTAGTTTTATTACGTATGTTCAGTCTCTGAAACGTAGCATGATGGTAAGGAACGAAGATGCTTTAAATAGAAAAGTGTAATGCGCGTTTTAGGCTTGGGAAAAGCAAGTGGACACGTACAAAGAGGGCCAGCGCATTTTAGAACGGCAGAGATTCCAATTCCCATCCTCGTGGTTGCACGTGGAGAATTTGGAAGGCGAGTGGGGTGCTTTTAATGAAATTATTAAGCGAAAAGACTCATCTATACAGACGCAGGTAATTTATATTGTAACGTACAGCAAGGTGGTGTAAATTACCTTATACATTTGATATAAAGATTGCAAAATTTTTGTGTGGTTCACTCGCATCCATGCTTATCACATTTGTCTCGCTTTTTACTTTATAATTCTGCAAGTTCCTATCCTAGTCCATAAAATGCTGCACTAAACCAATTGCTGAATTGCTTCCTAGGTGCCAGTATAGAATGCCTTTTAGTTGGTAGTAAGGCGACTCCAGCTCCAGCCTCTTTATGCATTGAATTTTTTGTGTTAACATTGCTGGAACTTCACTAATAAAGTATATCGAGTCTTTTGTTTGAGCTTACTAATTGTTATGCTTATGCTTGGGGTTTAATTAGGCATGCTTGAAAATATCTGCACTTCATTAGTTTTGTAGTATAAAAAGTCGCAGAATTCTTTAGGTACTGTCTAAAGGCGCAGAGGCCTATAGGTACTGTTTAGCCCTGGCTCTACGTATAAATGATCATGAATTTACTTTCAAGTTATGACCTCATGAACGGAGCACTCCATGAAAACTTAGGAAGAATCTCCTTAAAGGTAAGCAGTATTCCTTATTACTTCAAACATTATGTAGTTATTTTCCCCATCCCTAAAAACTAGTGAATCTGAGGATTCAGCTTGACTCATTTAATTTTAGCGAAATGTTAACTTCAAAGTCAAGTTTTAACTAATTATATATTAACCCCTTCACTGAAACAGTCAATGGTACATAGGTTGTGTGACCACTTGATGCGTCCCCTTTGATTCCATCAGGAAATAGCGGGATATCATTTTCATTTGTATTCAGTGAATTCGCCTCGGGATAATTCAGTAAATCCTCAGTTGTTTTACATTTTCCCCGGAAAAAAATCATCTCTAGGAAAATACGAGAGTGTACCCAAAAAATGTGGAATTATTTTTTTCGTTTTTTACAAAGGAATCTTATCCCCTTCTCTACTCTCCATTACAAATAATACATTTTTGTCCCATCTGTGCTTCCACTGTTTGAAAATTATTTGTAATCATCTTTGGAAATGGCTGACAGCTCCTCCCTGATTTTTTTCTTGACCTCCTCAATGTTATCAAATGGGTGGTCCTCTATGCCTTCTTTTCGTGAAAATATGAAAAATTTGCACGGAGCCAGGTCAGGCGAGTAAGGTGCGTGGAGCGGCACATTCTATAGTATTTTACATTATTAGCCAGGTAAGTGAGTTTTTACTGGCGATAGAAGTTGACTGGCGAGCCGTCAGGCGAGCCTGTCATATCCTAGAGCCAGTAAAAACTATTACCTGGCGTATAATGTACAATATTTTATTTGTTACTCATTTGTAAACGTAAATAATTAGTTCTTAAATTGATCTTGACGAAATGTCTAAAATATCATGTGATCCATGTAACAGAGACTTCGCATTAATTCTGGCCAATGAAATTACTAGATTACTAACTTGTAAAATTTTTACAGGTCTGCTGTCAGTTTTACAAGTCAGTAGCGTTTAAACATGACGTTTACCCGTTTGCGTTTTGTCTTGTTAATCAACGTTTACAACTGAGTAACAAATAAAATTATTTACATAACGGGCGATCAAAAATGAGTTGCCGTCGAGTCGCCTTTGGAAGTTCAAGTTAAGTACGATTTCCCATGTAAACAAAAATTCGAAAGGTGACTCGACAGCAACTCATTTTTGATCGCATGGTATAAAAACACCTTAGAGATTTTTTATTTCACATTTTTTATTAGATAAAATCGGCAAGAAAATGAACCTTTGAATTTGGCAAATTGTATTGAAATAGTGGGAAAAAATTCCTTGAAACAAAATTTAATTTTACGTCCAAACCAAATGCAATAGAATTTCAAATTTACAGATTACTATTGATACCAAAATTTCCTAGAATTAATGTAAAAAAGAATTTGTAGAAAATTTAACGTAAAAACTTTCAATTTTTGATATAATATTACAGGATTACTTTGACATCTTAAACACAAATAAATAGAACTAATCTAAACTACTATTTTGGGAGTTATTGTAGAGAGTCTGTACAAAGTGTACAGCCTTCGGGGATGGTTATCTCGTTACTGGGAAGTAGGTTGAAACAATCTCCTGAGATATTATACTGATGCTATTACTACTTGAGCTTTACCCTGTATGTCACAGTTTAACTGTATAGGTGTGATATCACGGTCACACAGGTGTGGCAGCAGAAAAGCTGTAAGAGAAACCCTTGGTTTAAGAACCGAGGGTTCTTAAAGAAGGGCAATTCCTTGCTTTGCAGTGAGGCGTCTTGATTGTAGGAAAATTTGTCTCTAGAACATTTGGCCGTATTCTCTCGGCCTAAAAAAGAATCACTCAACAATGGCGAGCTTCCTCGCGAATTATTTTTGAGAGCGAATATTCCTCAAAAATTGGATGAGCCAAATTTTTCAGGTTGTATTTTCTTTCAAATATTCGGAAACAGATCGTATCTACAGCGCAAAGGATAAATTCAATAACATGTTAGATCGCTCTAGGAGATACATGATCTGAAATCTACATGAAATTGAGGGAGGGGGTCATTTGTATTCAGTAAACTACACCAAGGAAACTTGTCTGCAGAAAATTAAATAAATCCTCTGTCTGAAATATTTGCCAGTAGAAAAGATCTCTCTAAAAAACTCCTTTTCAAAGAAAATTTGCTTAGTTTCGAGAATACAAATCAATGTCCTCTACATTCGAATTAAATTCTGCTCTATGTTGTTACAAATAAGAATACTGTGTGCCAGAGCTGGGAAGTATTTGAAGTTTTTAAATACTTTTCTTAACACTGTACTTGTATTTGAAAGTCCAAATACTTTTGAAAGTATTTAGGATTTAAATACTTTTGAAAAGTATTTAAATATATTTGAGAAATATTTAAATACTTTTAGAGTATTTAAATGCTTCTGAAGTATTTAAATACTTGGGGGTATTTAAATACGTTTGAACTATTTAAATACTTTTCGGTCATTTAAATACTTTTGGAAAGTACTTAAATACTCTTGAAGGATATATACTTTTTGAGGAACCTCTACAGTCCTATAGATAATAATAATAATAATATCTAATTTTTAAAAATTAATAATCAATATGCCTATCAGTAAGATACTTTCAAACAGCTTTCGCTTACTACCTACTCTGTAGGTGTAAGTAGGTGTGTAACTTACTTTACTTCCTACTCATGTCCACTCGCCTGCTCCTCTTATATGGGTAATAATACTAATAATTAATGTTACTTAAATAGTTTATAAATTCTTACGACATTTGATAAGTAGGTATTTATGCATAAGAATCGCATTGAAGCGTATAGGGTATCACATGCTTTAATTATTTGCACACAGAGACAAATACAAGTCCCTTCAAACTTACCACTTACCATGTCCGCGGAAATATGCGCACTAATTTGTAGATACGTTGGATTGACCAACGGCTAAATGCTGCTTAGATAGGTCTACTTTCCACCCACTGTTATATGACTTAAAATGTACCAAAGTTGCGTAATTAAATATTTATCTTCTTTTGGGTTATAATCGTGTATACACGAATATTTCTATTTAATTTGTTTACAAGTGGAGTCGTTTCGATAACAGTTACAGTTAGCGTCAGTTACCTCTGTAAGTGATCAAAAAAACTATTAGAAAAAAGTAAAGATGTCAAATAAAGTTAAAAGTGTAAATGTAAGTAAGCCTGCTATTCTTCAAAAAGTCAACTACGAAAATTATTTTAACTTTTTATTCAAGTCAAAATTAGCAGGATCTTGATACTGCAAATATTAAATGTTTCTAAAATGCCTTGAGGATGACAAGTCAGAACACCCTCAATTCATTAATCATTTTAATAATATTTAATCTTTTGAAGTTCTTAATAATCATTACTTAAAACAATTTTCGTGTTTGGATTTTTGGTAAATGTTTAATAATAATTATAGCAGAGTTATATTTTTGATAACTGATGAGTGATGAGGTAACTATATCCGTTTTCGAAATGTCTTCATTAGTAATACAATTAAATGTAAAACCCAAAAGAAGATAAATGCTTAATTTGTTTAATTATGTGTGAAAATCGCAAAAGTTTGTATTTTCATCTATGATTTATTGCGGTTTCCAGTGGAGCAACAATCATAAGTATAAGTAGATAGTTCACAAGCACGTCGCGGCATCGGAATATAAGAGGAATAGCTTTCCCTTTATGTTGGAAAATATGTAATACTTTCAAACTATTTAAATACTATACTTTCGAATGTAGTTAAATACTTTTCCAAACATTTAAATACTTTCAAAATATTTAAATATTTTGAAAGTATTTACTTTCGTGAATAGTTAAATACTTTCGAAAGTAGTTAAACACTTTTCGAAATATTTAAATACTTTACAAAGTATTTAAATAGTTTGTAAAGTAGTTAAATACTTTTTAAAGTAGTTGTATTTAATATTTGCTTATGTTGCTTAAAAAAGTATTTAATATTTAAATACTTTTACTTTTTTGAATGTATTTAGTATTTAAATACTTTTAAAAAGTATTTTGCCCAGCTCTGCCGTGTGCAAATTTTCATGAAAATATTTTGAGAGATAATATCTGGCGATCAAAAATGGACGTCAACTCGCCTTTGGAAGTTGAAGTTCAATACGATTTCCCACGTAAAAAAAATTCCAAAGGTGACTCTTTTTTGATCGAGGGATTGCAAATACTCTAGGACGAATTTTCCTGGTGTTGAATTTTCAGAGAGGAAATCAACTTTTTAATGAGATGGGAGGGTACACATTTGTCTGGAGCTATGTTTTTTGGTGACAAATATTTCGAAGCGTTTTTTTTTACAAATATGACTGGTTGAGGAAGGGAGGGATGAAATTATTTCTTGGGGCCAAATATTTTCGAGCCCAATAAATGCAATGGGAGGGGGGGGAATTTTCCTACGTTTTTTGCAACGTGTATTTGAGAATATTATCAGTGAATGAATTTTTTTTCTTCAGAATTTTTTGGTAGGGTTTGGAGCTACTATTTCGGCGAGAAAGTTTCCACCAGAATCGTTAAATTTTTTCAGTGTATTCCAATGGTGATTCGTTCCTACAGTGAAGTGAATTTGTAAGATTAGAACAATCTTTTAGTCGGAGGCCAATGTTACAGCGAACTTTTGCGATTATTACAGAAGCGAATTTTGTATGGTGAATTTTTCTATATCCAAGTTATCTGGGATCGAATTTCACATTTTTAATTCGTTATTTATGCCCCACACATCCAGTTTCTGCTTTTGATCACGATTGTCCTAGAAGAAATGTGCATTTTCCGCCATTAATTCACTTAATTATCAGGTATAAGGTTACGTTAATTATTTATCATAATTTTTGTTTGCAGAAATTCGGAAGTGGCGCAACTACCTCTACTTCTAAGAAATCTTCTGCACGACCAGTTTCACTTCCCGCTCAAACTCCATTAAAAATATCAAGAATGGTCCAAACAATTCAGTCACCTAAACCAAAATTAATCAAAGAAGTAGTCACAATGAATTGCTGTACTCTAGATGAATGCTCACAATTTGGAAAATTGATCGGTTGCATGTTGAGCAAAATTCATGATAAACGTTTGCAAAGTATGGCAAAATTTCAAATTTACAAAATGATGTTTAACATTGAGATGAAAATGGCGAGGAGCGTTGAGGATGGGCGTCCGAGTCTGGATAGTGGTTATACATCTTTCTGTGATACTATTCCAGATATGCAATGTTCAACACCTTCTTACCTATCTACACATCAAGTTTCGGACTCGACAAATTTTTATTCTTTTATTAGTGAATAGTTTTTCAGATTGCATTTATGTCACAATTTATTTAATTATACAGTATTTTGCACCACCTTGCATTACTCATTTTCAGTAATTTCAGTTTATTAATTGTTTGATCCTAGGTTGCCAGCTTGCAGCAAAAGATTGTGTCTGAAGACAAGGCGGTTGAAAGTCGTACCAACGATTTCTTAATCGATTGGGAACGCAGCAAGCCCGTTGAGGGTTCTCTTAAGCCAGACGAAGCCTTGACTCACCTGCAATTATTCGAAAGCAAGTTTGCCAGACTGAAGGAAGAACGTGATAATGTTGCAAAGGCCAAGGAAGCTTTGGAATTGCAAGATCCAGGTACTATCTCTTATTGCCCTCTAATTAAATTTAAAAAATTGTTTTTAAGGCGGAGTTAGTACAAGCGAAGACAAAATGCAGGTAGTATTTGAAGAACTGCAAGACTTGCGAGGGGTTTGGTCCGAATTATCTCGCATTTGGACTCAAATCGACGAAACAAGAGAAAAACCGTGGCTGTCTGTGCAACCTCGTAAATTACGGCAGCAACTAGACGCGATGTCGACCCAACTCAAAGAACTGCCAGCCAGGCTTCGTCAGTACGCCTCGTACGAATACGTCAAGAAGCTCCTACAGAACTACACCAAGGTGAACATGATGATCGTAGAACTAAAATCGGACGCGTTAAAAGAGCGCCATTGGAAGCAGCTGACCAAGCAGTTGCGCGTTAACTGGGTGCTATCGGATTTGACATTGGGTCAAGTGTGGGATGTTAACCTGCAGAAGAACGAAGCTATTGTTAAGGACATCATTTTAATAGCCCAAGGTGAAATGGCGCTGGAAGAATTCTTGAAGCAAGTGCGAGAGTCTTGGCAAAATTACGAACTCGATTTGATCAATTACCAAAATAAGTGTCGATTAATAAGAGGGTGGGACGATCTCTTCAACAAAGTTAAGGAGCACATTAATTCTGTAGCCGCCATGAAGCTCTCTCCGTATTACAAAGTTTTCGAAGAGGAAGCGCTGACGTGGGAGGAGAAACTGAATCGTATTAATGCCCTGTTTGATGTATGGATCGATGTTCAAAGGCGGTGGGTGTATTTGGAGGGAATATTTTCAGGAAGTGCAGATATTAAGACCTTATTGCCAGTTGAAACGTCCAGATTTCAGAGTATTAGGTGAGGAGTGTTTTTACTTGTTTGTAAATGTCAATTCTGTGTAGTTCTGAATTTTTGGGTTTGATGAAGAAGGTCGGCAAATCTCCGATGGTAATGGACGTTTTAAATATACCGGGGGTACAGCGAGCCTTGGAACGGTTAGCCGATTTGCTTGGCAAAATTCAGAAGGCTTTGGGCGAATATTTGGAGCGAGAACGAACGTCATTTCCTCGTTTCTATTTCGTCGGCGACGAGGATTTGTTGGAGATAATCGGAAACAGTAAAAATGTCGCTCGATTGCAGAAGCATTTCAAAAAAATGTTCGCCGGAATCGCGTCCATTTTGTTAAATGAGGACAACACGGTTATAACGGGCATTTCATCTCGTGAAGGGGAAGAAGTGGGTGAAACTGCTTAAATGATGTTTGTTTAATGTGGAATATTGTAGGTGCGGTTTGTGTCATCTGTGTCTACAGTCGAGCATCCTAAGATAAACGAATGGTTAACTATGGTGGAGAAGGAGATGCGTGTAACGCTGGCATCTAGTTTGGCGCAAGCAGTTCAAGATATAAAGCAGTTTAAAGACTCCATCGATCAAAAACTATTTATCCAATGGGTCGACAAATATCAAGCACAAATTGTTGTTTTGGCAGCGCAAATTCTTTGGAGCGAGGATGTCGAAAACGCCTTACAAAAAATGAACAGTGAGCCACAGAAAGGGCCCTTGGAGAAGGTGTTGACAAATGTCGAAAATACCCTCAACGTTTTAGCGGACTCAGTTTTGCAAGAGCAACCTGCGCTAAGACGAAAAAAACTGGAGCACTTGGTACGCTTATTTCTACCAAATGAACCGATACTTATTCTCTTTTAGATTAATGAATTTGTCCACAAACGAACAATCACTCGGCGGTTAATCACGAACGGCGTATGCAGTAATAAAGCCTTTGAGTGGCTGTGCGAAATGCGATTCTATTTTGACCCTCGACAAACAGAAGTACTGAAACAGTTGACAATTCACATGGCGAATGCTAGATTCCATTACGGTTTTGAATACCTGGGAGTTCAGGATAGACTGGTTCAAACTCCGCTAACTGACAGATGTTACCTGACGATGACGCAGGCGCTTGAAGCGCGACTCGGAGGCTCACCATTTGGTATAGTTTTTATTTTACTGTTCATTTCTGACACCCTTACTTAGGTCCTGCCGGTACCGGAAAGACAGAGTCGGTGAAAGCACTCGGACACCAGTTGGGACGATTTGTCCTTGTCTTTAACTGCGATGAGACATTCGATTTCCAAGCCATGGGTCGAATCTTCGTCGGATTATGTCAGGTGGGAGCATGGGGCTGTTTTGACGAATTTAATCGTCTCGAGGAAAGAATGCTCTCCGCTTGCTCGCAGCAAATTCAAACCATTCAGGAAGCTTTAAAGTCAGAAAAGGAGGCCAGTGCCGAGGGCGCTACTGGAGGAAGTACGTCGGATGGTTACATTTTAAATTTGTACTTATAGTTTGTTACAGATTTGAGCGTGGAGCTGGTCGGAAAACAGGTTAAGGTGTCGCCGGATATGGCAATATTTATCACTATGAACCCCGGATACGCGGGACGTTCTAATCTACCCGATAACTTGAAGAAATTATTCCGATCGTTAGCCATGACGACCCCGGATCGTCAGCTGATCGCAGAGGTCATGTTATTTTCGCAAGGTTTCCGTACCGCTGAAAAACTCGCGTGTAAGATTGTGCCATTTTTCAAGTAAGATTTGCAACAGCTAGCCTTTCTATTTCTAACGTTCTATTTAGGTTGTGCGACGAACAATTATCCAATCAGTCTCACTATGATTTCGGTCTTCGTGCATTGAAATCTGTGTTAATTTCTGCGGGAAATGTGAAGAGAGATCGAATAATGAGAATCAAAGAGGGAATGACCCAAAGGGGCGAGACCAATATCGACGAAGCTAGTATTGCCGAAAATTTACCGGAGCAGGAAATTTTAATTCAGTCCGTTTGTGAGACGATGGTGCCGAAGCTCGTTGCTGAAGACATACCGCTGCTGTTTTCGTTACTAAACGACGTTTTCCCTAATGTTCAGTATACTAGGGCGGAAATGAAAGGTACTTCCTTTGAGTTGACTCCTTGTTGTATTTTGTTCTTGCAGGATTGAAAGATCAAATTAGAAAAGTGTGCCAGGAAGAATATTTGGTTTGTGGTGAAGGTGACGAACAAGGAGCGACTTGGATGGGAAAGGTAAGAGGGTGAAGGTTTATAGTGAATCACTTCATGTAGATACTATTCATTTCATGCATATCAGAAGTCTCTTGTTGGAGAAACATGGATTGAAAAGGTATTTTTCATGTCTTTCATATTCATTGTAGTTCATCTTCTATTATAACTTATAAGTATTCAATATTACTGTTTTTGTGTTTTTAATAATGGTCAAGAGTGTCGCTTTCAATAATTCTTATAATAGTTCCAAACCATATGGTCTACAATTTACTGACGACAGATGGCGTCATTGCCGCAGTCATAGTGTAGACTGGCAAGTCGGAAAAATAAAACTTCTACCGAACCTTTTGTAACCATTTAGCATTTTTACGTCTATTTTCGAAATGCTCTGTGGGCACCATCTTCTTGAGCTACGAAGTTGAAGAAAATGTTTGCAAAATCAGAAAGGTCATATTCAAAAACCTAACCAAAGCCGCAACATCCGTCCATCTACCTGTGATGTTGTTGGATGCTTGTTGATTCTTGTTCACAAATTTTAAACTACCTCGTTTTCATATCATAGTTTAATCTTAGCTCTTTTCTTCATCTCCATGTCAACAATTTTTCAATTATCTTTTTAATGTCACTAGATGTGATCTAAAGTTATACTATGAATATTACAATTCTCCCCTAGGACATTTAAAAACTTTCTGATTAGATTGCACAACACATTACAGCCTTATGAATATTGAGCTGATATCTTGAAAATTAAATTACGATAACAATTTGACAACTAATATTAAATTACTATTTTACATGATACAAAACAGTGCAAATCAAATATCACCAAATACAAAACACATTGAAAAATGATTTCATAGGGTGATTTTTCTGTTGTAGAATGAGGGGTGCTTCTGTAGTTAATTAAAAATTCATGTATTTTTGAATTAAAGTGTAATTATGATGTGTTTAATACCATGATTTCGAAGATAGTTTTCAAATTCATGTCCATTGAAAGGTGGACCATTGTCAGATTTGATGGATTCTGGAAATCCCCAGGTGGCTAATATTCTATCCATGATGGGTTTTATTGATGCAAATGAAGTTGAATTTACCAGTTCTATTATGGGGTATCGTGAGAATTCGTCTACTGCTATCAAAATGTATTTGTTTTGATGGAATGGTCCTGCAAAATCGATATCTATTCGCTGAAATGGATAGTCTGGAAGTAAACCAGATATTATTGGGTCTCGGAAACTGCTCTTTGTTACTGCTTGGCATGGTGTGCAGCATCTGATATATTTCTCAGTCAATATGTCTAAATTAGGAAACCATACTTTTGTTCTTAAAAGTTGTTTGGTTTTGGTTATTCCTAAGTGTCCTTTGTGAGCCATTTCTATTGCTGTTTGTTGTAGTGACACTGGTAGGACAATTCTGTGATCTCTTAGTATTAATCCATTGCGGTAGATTAATTCATCTTTAAGTTTAGCAAACAAGGTCAGGTCTGGTAGTTTCCAATATTTTTGATTCGTACTGGAAATAGCGTTGATTAATGTTTGAAATTTTTCGTCATTTCTGGTGGCTTCCTGGACTTGTTGAAGTGTTATAGCCTTTGGTAATGAGCTATTGATACAAAAGTTAACGTATTGTTCGATTCTGTCGTGCTCCTGATGTTTATTACAGCTTGTTTGTCCTGGATGTCTGGATAAATAATCAGATGGATTGAAAATGCCTTTTTGGTGTACAATTTTGAAATTATAGAACTGAATTCTGAGTAAGAGCCTTTCTACTCTTGCGTTTGGAGCGGTTCGAGTGTTCTCTAAAATTTTGACAAATGGTAAGTTACCACAATGTAGTATAAACTCTGAACCATAAAGGTAATTATGAAAATGCTGGATAGACCAAGTGCAAGCAAGGGCTTCTTTTTCAAAATGACTATACCTTCTTTGCACCTCTGATAATGTTGTGCTTGCATAAGCAACGATTTGTGTTTGACCCGTAGAACTCTCTTGTGCGAGTATTGCTCCAATTCCAGTCGGTCCTCCATCAACATAAAGATGTGTTGTTTTCTTTATATCAAAATAAGCTAAATTCTTGGTGTGACTAAGTTCTTGCTTAAGCATGTTAAAAATCTGTTCATGGTGTTCTGTCCAGTTGAAAATGGCATCTTTTAGTGTAAGTTTGCGCAAAATTTCTGCTTTTTCGGACAGTTTAGGAAAAATTTTCCTACATAACCAATCATTCCCAAAAGAGATCTTACTTCTTCTGCATTCTCAGAACTTTTTAGGTTTATTATGCTGCTTAATTTATCTGGGTCAGGGTGTATTCCTTCGCTAGAAAAGACAAATCCATAAAATTTGATTTTGGGTACGCTGAAAATACATTTATTCTTGTTTATTGTTAGGTTATTGTCTTGCAGGGATTGAAAAACTTTTGTTAGAATGTTATCGTGGTCTTGCTTGTTTTTCGCAAAGATTAATATATCGTCGCTTATGTTTATCACTCCTTGAATGTTTTGTAAGACATTGCTGATGGTGTTTTGAAATATTTCCGCTGCTGAGTTGATTCCAAAAGAGAGCCTTTTGTATCTAAACAGACCAATGTGTGTTGAAAAAGTGGTGATGTATCTAGACTCTTCGGATAGTGTTAGTTGATGGTATCCTTCCTTCAGGTCGATCTTACTAAATATTTTCGATCCATTAAGCTGTGTTATTACTTCATCGATGGTTGGAGTTACATGGCGTTCTCGTACAATGGCTTTGTTTGCATTTCTCATGTCGACACATATTCTGATTTCTTCTGGGTTGCTCTGCTTCGGTACAATTACAATTGGAGGTACCCACGGTGTCGGTCCTGTTGTTCTTTCTATAACGTCTTGTTTTTCTAGGCGGGCAAGTTCATATTCAACTTTGCTTCTTAGATGAAATGGTATTCTTCTATGTTTGTTTGCTATCGGTTGTACATTTAGATTGATGTGTAATTTGATCAAAATGTTGGACAGTTGTCCAATGCCTCCTATCAGTTTCGGATAGTGTTGCTTGTCAATAGGATGTTGAATGAGATTTGTGAATGAAATGATGTTCAAATCTTTGGAAGCTTGATAACACAATAAAGGCTCAGAATTCCCTTTTACTACAATTATTTCTGATTGGATTGTATTCGTTTTGTGAGTAAGGGTAGCTAGCAATTTTCCAAGTATTTCTAACTTAGTTGTGTGACCATAAGGAAAAATTTTACTGCTATCTGGGTACAGTGGGCGTTTATTTGGAAAATTTTGTAGGTACGTTTGCTCAGAAATTAAATTTACTGAAGTTCCCGTGTCAATGATAAATTTTATTGGTTTATTGTTAACTTTCAGAGTTACTTGTGGAAGAGCGCTGCTTTTTGTTGTTAGGTTAAAGGAATATTCGGAATCGCTGTTGTTATCACCTTGCATTGTATGATTAACTGATGATTTCTTGTTATATTGTTGTTCATTCAGTTGTTGATGAGACCTATAAGGTTGACGATTGTTCGAAGTGCCTGCTTCCTCAAGTGCTTGTGTTCGGTTGTGATTTTCAGGGCGGGTGTTGTTTAGTTTAGCCATGCATACGTGTGCAAAATGACCTTTCTTGTTACAAAAATGACAATTTACTTTTAGAGCGGGACAGGTTTGTCTCCCTTTTACATGCCAGTTGTTACCACAATTCTTGCACATTTGATCAGATTTTTGCATTGGATGGTGTGTTTTACTGTTGTTCAGTGACCTATTCCTATTGTTCCTATTCCTGTTGTTTGATCTGTCATTTATTTGTGATTTTAACCTATTAACGTTGATTTCCTTATTTTCCATTTCTGAAACTTGTTTTTCAGTTAATTCGTAGACTTTAGCTTGGGTTAATATTTTTTGTAATGGCGGATTATCAGTCAAGGCATATCGTCGTAATTTGGACAAGGTTGTACCCTGAATGATCTGCGATTTTATTTCTTTATCTTTATCTACAAAGCCACAATTTAAGCTAAGTTTTAAAAGCCTAGCGTAGAATTCATCAGTCGTTTCTAACTTATCTTGTTTGGACTGCCTAAAGTTATATATTTCAAACTCGCAATTGATTTGTGGGGAAAAATGCTTGTTTAATTTTTGTTTGACAACGTCATACTTCAGAATTTCAAGAGGTGTGTTGGTAATGGAGTCAACTTGGGGTGTGGGTTCAGGTAAAGAAGAAAAAATGTCAAATACCTCCTCTCCCACGCAGTGAAGTAGCATTGCTTCTTTCCTGTCGTCGTTTCATATCCCGGCTGCGATTAGAAAATTTTCAAATCGCTTCATCCATTTTTGCCATCTAACGCCTACGTTTGCTGTATAGACATCGAACGCCTCGATAGGTGGTGTTCCATTTCGTGGTTCGCTTCTTCGTCGCCAAAATGTGATGTTGTTGGATGCTTGCTGATTCTTGTTCACAAATTTTAAACTGCCTCGTTTTCATATCATAGTTTAATCTCAGCTCTTTTCTTCATCTCCATGTCAACCGTTTTTCAATTATCTTTTTAATGTCACTAGATGTGATCTAAAGTTATACTATGAATATTACACTACCTCTCATAGTTTATGAGAAAAAATTTAACAAAAATTTTAGAGTTTGGGAGGAGGGGGTACTTAATTGTTACACCCTGAATACTATTAATCATTATTAAATAATGTTTCCATTTTAAAAGTGGTTACGAATGGAATTGTTCAAGAACCTTTTTGAAGAGATGTCGGGGGCACAAAAATGGCAGTGTCTAGTGGGAATTGAGTAGGTGGAGCTTGAATTTCTCATTTTTATTTGAGTCGCATTTGAAATTTCAAAACCGCATAATTTTTTGTTTAGGTTCTGCAACTCTACCAGATATCGAACCTTAATCACGGCTTGATGATGGTCGGCCCTAGTGGTTCAGGAAAAAGTTCCGCCTGGCGCGTTCTACTGAAAGCGCTCGAACGATTTGAAGGTGTCGAAGGTGTGGCGCACGTTATTGACCCCAAAGCTATTAGTAAAGAGGCGTTGTATGGTGTTTTGGATCCGAACACTCGAGAATGGACTGACGGTCTTTTTACACACATTCTAAGGTGGGTTAAGCCATCGCCGGTGACTTGCGATTAATATCTAACTCTAGAAAAATCATCGATAACGTACGAGGGGAAATAAATAAGAGGCAGTGGATAATATTCGACGGAGATGTCGATCCTGAATGGGTGGAAAATTTGAATTCGGTGCTTGACGATAACAAGCTGCTCACTTTACCGAACGGCGAACGTTTGTCCTTACCGCCAAACGTCAGGGTTATGTTTGAGGTAAGTTTTTAATGGCTACATTTGCAATCTTCATAAATTATGAGTTAGGTGCAAGATTTGAAGTACGCAACATTGGCCACTGTGTCTCGTTGCGGCATGGTCTGGTTCTCTGAAGATGTTCTGTCCACTGAAATGATATTTGAGAATTTCATATTGCGTTTAAGACACATTCCACTAGAGGAAGGAGATGACGATGGATTCAGTAAGAAGATTGGGGAATCTAAAGATGATATTCTTTCACCCACACTTCAGGTATGCAACTCATTCTTAGAAACACCACGTCACGCTGCTTTTTAGATTCAAACGGACGTGGTAAACATTCTACAACCTTTCTTAGTTCCCGATGGCTTAGTTGTGCGTTGCTTGGAATATGCAATTGAGCAAGAACATATTATGGACTTCACAAGACTTAGAGCATTAAGTTCCTTATTTTCAATGTTAAATCAAAGCGTTAGGTTCGTTGTTTAATTAGAAATTATTTGCTCTATTACTTTTTTTAGGAATGTACTCCAGTATAACCATACACACCCCGATTTTCCATTACCCAATGAACAATTGGAGAAGTATATACCGAAATGTTTGATTAATGGAGTATTGTGGTGTTTCTCTGGAGATTCAAAACTTAAAGTGCGTTCTGATTTAGGAGACTTTATACGTTCTGTCACCACAATTCCTTTGCCACCCAATAATATGTCAATAATTGATTACGAAGTGAACATAAAGTATTATTTCTTGTATGGTTTTTGAGTTCTGTACTGAGCACTTCTTTTCTAGTGGAGAATGGGTACCCTGGTCTAATAAAGTACCTCAAATCGAAGTGGAAACACATAAGGTTGCTGCCCCCGATATTGTGGTACCGACATTAGATACTGTGAGACATGAAGCTCTATTGTATACGTGGTTGGCCGAACACAAACCACTTGGTATGTTAAAGAAATTTTAACAATGCCATGCACCTTCTAACTTTCCAGTTTTGTGTGGCCCTCCTGGATCCGGTAAAACCATGACATTATTCTCTGCTTTACGGGCCCTTCCTGACATGGAGGTAGTCGGTTTGAATTTCTCATCCGCTACAACGCCAGAACTCTTATTGAAAACATTCGACCATTATTGCGAATATCGTAAAACACCGAACGGAGTTATACTATCCCCCGTCCAGCTGGGAAAATGGCTGGTGATATTTTGCGATGAAATTAACTTACCGGACATGGATCAGTACGGCACGCAACGAGTGATAATGTTCTTGCGACAGCTCGTCGAGCAGAAAGGATTTTACAGGGCTTCTGATCAAACTTGGGTTACACTGGAACGTATTCAGTTTGTCGGCGCGTGTAATCCTCCCACAGATCCAGGCCGAAAACCATTGTCCCATAGATTTTTACGACACGTACCAGTTATTTACGTCGATTATCCTGGAGAAACATCTCTAAAGCAAGTAAGTTTCAAATAACAACCTTTATAGTAACCAAAGTTATAAACAGTTTTTTTTCTTTGGGTACAGGTGTTTGCACATTTTCTGTCTTTTTGACTTTGGTACATCGTTAGCTATTGATAGTTATGCAACCAAACATACTTCAAATTGTAACAAAAATGAACTTTTATTTTCCTTTAAAATCTCACTTGAAACATATAATCTAAAATCGCGTTATATATGGTAGTGGATAATCATCATTTTTTGTGATTTTTTGTTATCAACTAGAACATTTAAAAACGTGAATGCATATAGCACTGGGTAACAGTCTTATGTTGCCTATTAGCGGAATAGACATAATGAAACCTTCCTAATTAAGGCTCCTCTGTAGTCAATCCGCCATATTGGAAAAATAGCTAAACTTTCTTATGAAATGCCGCTTTTATAGTTGAAGTCTAACAAATTCTCGATAGTGGATATTGTTTGCAATGATGAAAAGAACGGCGGTACTTAAAAAAATTGAAATATCGGTCTTAGTTTTTTAGGAAGATCGATGAATAGAAAAATCGTTTTTTGTAGATAACGGCCGATGTAATGAGGGTAGAAAAACGTACAGCACCAATTTGGAAATCCGGCAGTACTTCCTACGGCGGTACTTAAAGATATTATTTCCATCTATTATGATATGGCATATCTTTTAAAAAATATGTTTCGCGATCTTCAGAAAAAAATCAAAACGCTAACGTAAGGATAGACTCAAATTGCACTTATAACGCCTGAGGCGACCACTTATTACTTGAAAGAGAAAACAAAAGAAACTACCTGGCATTACCCTACACATTGTTACGCCGTTCCTAATGATATGGATTAGATAAATTACTATTTATTATTTATTTATTTGAATGCTGTTGATTTGTAAATCATAATGTCACATATTCCCAAGACGAAAAATGGATATTCTATTATAGGTACAGTCTCTTGTAAAAGTAATGTCCCTCGGATACCTACCACTGTAGCATAGGCAACCAACATCCCAGCCGACTACTTCAAGTTGGATTTGCGGGTGTGGGAGGTAGGTAGGTATCTAATGCGGTTCGTTTTCAGCAGGTATTCCCACTTTGCCAAACTAAAAATAAGTTAGTAGAATGAAAATGAATGACATTTATTAGCTCAAAAGATCTGCGCTGATTTAATCTATCCTTGGTTTAATACAGTAGAAATTTTTACATTTCTTTCAATTGGTTTGGTGCGTTTTAAATTTGGAAATAGTTTAGCTAAAATAATGACCTTTTACTTTTAATTTTTTCGAGTAGATTTTCTTCTAACAAAATAAATGTGATGATTTTGTCGTTTTATACTGACATTGAAATTGATGTCTCATTATTAATTACTCGGGCCTCCTAATGGAATGCGATTATCTGCACTGGAAGCGCGACAATGCCGTTCCTTTTGTAACTACCACCTCCCACTCGTTTCAAACCCCGGGATGACACCCGCGGAAAAATTCAGCTGTTTTAATTATTTTTCCCTAATTTCTAATCATTTCACCTGCATGAAAAAGCCGGTTTAACTGGTAACTAATTTTTTTGTCAAAAATATACCTATAACCTGGACTAAATATCCTTATAATATGCCTACCTACTCAAAAATATGCAACGTAAAAGCTCTCCTAAACTAAATTCGATATTAAATCAACCACGACCAAGTATCACAAATGCATATCATTCAATTTCTGATGCTAGTTACAAAAGAAAGGTATTGTTGCACAGTGCACTTGTAGGGCAATTAATCGCATTCCATGAGGAGACCTACTCGCAAGTAATTATTAATGACACTGGAATTTCAATGTCATTAAAGGACAAGAATGTCACCTTTATTTCGTTAGAAGAAAACCTACTCAAAAAATTAAAAAGTGAAAGGCCATTATTTTGTCTTAATAGTCTCTAGCTAAACTATTTGCAAATTTAAAACGCACCAAACCAATTGTAAGAAATGTAAAAATGTTTACTGCACCAAGCCAAGGATATGCAGCGCAGATCCTTTGAGCTAATAAATCGATGGCATTCACTTTTATTCTACTGACTAGTATTTAGTTTGGCTAAATGGGAATATCTGCTGAAAATGAACCGCATTAGATAGCTACCTCGCACACCCGCAAATCCAACTTGGACTAGGCGGCTGGGATGTTGGTTGCCTATGCTACAGTGGTAGGTATCCGAGGGACATTACTTTTACAAGAGACTGTACATTGGAAATAATTTTTGATTTCTAAAACCTTTTGCATCCTATCAGGATGCTTCAAGAAATAAAAAAAAAACCTATAATGAGCCTAAATAAAAATGCAATAAATAACACAAACAAAAAATAAATAAAATTATTAAATAATCCGCCCAAAAATACATAAACAATATTTTCCTTTGAGGGGCGGGGGGTACGTACAATACTAGGTACTTCACATATTATATCATAAGTAGTGCTGAATATGAACTCTGTATTATAACAATGCTTTCAAACTACCAGAAGCGTAGCACTTTGTTTAGTTAGATCAAATCAAATATGACTAAATTACACGTTTGTGTATATTTCCCATCTAAAATTATCAATTTTCTCAGATAGTCCAGTATGCGGAGCAGTCGAAAGGGCCGATTCCTGCAAAATGTGGTGTAAACGATTTTAACGTTTTAAATGGTCCATTTGGGTCCAAATAACATGTATTTGAAGAGTGCACACCAATTTTTTCCTGGCACAACTTTTGGCAGCCAAAAAAACCTCAAAACGTTCGGACTTTTTTCAGTTTTTCGCTTAAAACTCGAAAACGGTGCATATTTTATGAATAACACTTCTTTGCGTCGATCAAAAAAAACAAACAAAATCGGTCCAATAGAAAAATTTTTACAAGCGATCAAAAAACGCCCATTTTTTCCAACTTTTCTAAAGAACTGAGTTAACCTTTTTTAATGCGTTGTGGCTCCTAAAGGAACGATAAAATCCACTAGCCCACCTCCCTAAAGATTGTAGAACATCAATCAGAGAATTCAAAAAGTACCAACAATTTAAAATTGGACTAATTGTTTAAATTCGTTGGAAAAATGGGCGTTTTTTGATCGCTTGTAAAAATTTTTCTATTGGACCGATTTTGTTTGTTTTTTTTTTATCGACGCATAATTTTGTTTTCTTTAATTTACTAAAGAAGTGTTATTCATAAAATATGGACCGTTTTCGAGTTTTAAGCGAAGAACTAAAAAAATGCCAAAAATTTTGAGGTTTTTTGGCTGCCAAAAGTTGTGCCGGGAAAAAATTTGTGAGCACTCTTCAAATACATGTTATTTGGACCCAAATGGACCATTTAAAACAATAAAATCTTTTACACCACCTTTTGCAGGTCAAAATTATCTGCATATACTGGACTAAGAGTCAGTCTTCGTGAAAATTATCTATTTCGAGAAATGCGACCAAAAGCAAAAGATGCACATGCCCTTTGCTTTCCATAAAGTTGTGCCCAATAGATAACAAATGACACATAGGCATTTTTTCACTTATTAAACAATGCTAGTCTAGTCCACTAATTACATGAAAACCACGTAATTTATAGAAGGTGTTATTATAGAAAAATGCAGTAAATGCATTGATCAAGGAGATCATGTAACAGTGTGTATTTTTGGTGGTCTAACCAATTGCAATAACACTGAAATACAAATTCACTACAGAGGAGCCTTAAAGTTTGTAACATGAACTTGAGAAATATAGGTATAATTTATCCAAAATCGCGGATATATATGACAGCGGATAATCAGCAAAAATTGGGTGGCAAAAATAAATAGATTTCGTTTTAGATCTATGGCACATTCACACGCGCCATGTTGAGGTTAGCGCCCAACTTACGAGGTTACGCCGAACCGTTAACAAACGCAATGGTGGAATTCTACCTCTCCTCTCAGGACCGATTCACACAAGACATGCAACCTCACTATGTCTACTCCCCTCGTGAAATGACCCGTTGGGTTAGAGGCATATGCGAAGCCATCAGGTATAGAGACGCATAGTCAATATTGGTTTGACTAATTGTGTTCTTAGGCCTTTGGATAGTTTGTCAGTGGAAGGTTTAGTGCGTTTATGGGCGCACGAAGCGCTGCGTTTGTTCCAGGATAGGTTAGTTGAGGAAGTTGAAAGAAAGTGGACCAATGAAAATATCGACGCAGTAGCTGCCAAGCATTTCCCATCGGTCAATTCTGACAAAGCACTCATTCGTCCGATACTGTACAGTAATTGGCTATCGAAGAATTATATTCCCGTTGAAAGGGAACACTTAAGGGAGTATGTTCAAGCGAGATTGAAAGTGTTCTATGAAGAAGAGTTAGATGTGCCTTTAGTATTGTTTGATGAGGTCTTAGATCACGTGTTACGGATCGATAGGATATTTAGGCAGCCTCAAGGACACTTACTGTTGATTGGGGTGTCGGGAGCAGGGAAAACCACACTTTCGCGATTTGTAGCCTGGATGAATGGACTATCGATCTTCCAAATCAAAGTGAGTTACATTAGTTGAGTTATACCCGTTACACAAACTTTTCTTAGGTACACAACAAATACACTGCTGAAGACTTCGATGAAGATTTACGATCGGTGCTTCGCCGAAGTGGTTGCAAAGACGAAAAAATCGCATTCATTTTGGACGAATCCAACATGCTTGACTCCAGCTTTTTAGAGAGAATGAATACATTGTTGGCCAATGGAGAAGTTCCCGGATTATTTGAAGGAGACGAATACACTACGCTTATGACCCAATGCAAAGAGGGCGCACAACGAGAAGGTGAATAATTTATGCGAAATTCAAATTCTTATTTTTTCTTCTATTAGGTTTAATGTTAGACTCGAGCGATGAGTTATACAAGTGGTTCACCGGGCAAGTAATGCGCAACTTGCATGTCGTATTCACAATGAATCCGTCGACAGATGGACTAAAAGATCGTGCCGCAACGTCCCCTGCATTGTTTAATAGGTGTGTGCTGAACTGGTTTGGAGACTGGTCCGATGGAGCGCTTTTCCAAGTCGGTAAAGAGTTTACAAACCGTGTTGACTTGGATAAACCAGCTTGGAAAGCGGCCGACTTCTTCCCGGCAGCTTGCAATCTTCTACCAACATCTCCATCTCATAGAGAGGCCGTAATTAACGCCTGCGTGTACGTACATCAAACATTACACAAGGCCAACTCACGACTGGTTAAGAGAGGCAGCCGAACCATGGCAATTACACCAAGACATTATCTCGACTTTATTCATCACTTTGTCAAGTTGCATAACGAAAAAAGATCAGATCTAGAAGAACAGCAGCTACATCTAAACGTCGGTCTGAGCAAGATCGCCGAAACTGTCGAGCAAGTTGAGGAAATGCAAAAGAGTTTGGCTGTCAAATCGAGGGTTTGTATGATATTGGTCGTGTTTTAAAAATGAAAACATTTCTGTGCAGGAACTGGAAGCGAAGAACGATGCGGCCAACTTGAAGTTGAAACAGATGGTAAAGGATCAGCAGGAGGCAGAGAAAAAGAAAATGCAAAGTCAAGAAATACAGCAACAGTTAGCCGAACAAACCGTTCATATTGAACAGAAACGTAAAGAGGTAATGGCGGATCTTGCTTTGGTTGAACCTGCCGTTATCGATGCACAGAATGGTAAGCAGGCATATTAATTACACTTGTTCGTCTAATTTGTTACTCCCCAGCTGTAAAATCAATTAAGAAACAGCAGTTGGTCGAAATTAGGACTATGGGCAATCCACCTGCTAGTGTAAAGTTGGCTTTAGAATCCATTTGTCTACTGCTTGGGGAAAACGCGACTGATTGGAAGGCTATTCGGGCTGTGATTGTTAGAGATAATTTTATTAATATGATTGTCTCAAATTTCTCCACAGAGGACATTACGTAAGTATAAATCCTATGGCCGCATAAAGGCTGACATACACAACTTCCAACTTTCCATATTGGTCTCAAAGATATTCAACAATTAACTGGCCATAATTCAAATTGGGTTTTGATGGTTCAAGTAGTGTAAAGACGGGATTTAGTACGTTAGAAATTAATCATGATCTAAATATATTACAGATAGACCATGTCAAGTTATAAATTGACTATAGTGATTTGTATTCAATTAGCCATTGCAATCACAATCACCCGCACGTTAGTAGAGGGATTGTAGGTCAAAGAAAAACATATGTTCCATTGAAACGAAACAAATTTCTTTCGTGATGGCCAGTGGCATCTTAGAAAAATACATTCGGATCGCTACTTATTTCCTTTTAGAAGATACGAACCGCGACTATTTAAATCGAATTCAGCGCGCAAATTCGGTTCTATCACAAAGTTTCTTCAGTCGTTTAATAAATCAAAACTTGAAATAACTGATTTTGAAGTAAATTAAAGATATACTCGTTTACATCTGCTCTAATATTTGTATCTTTCACGTAGGGACGACGTGAGAGATCGAATGAGAACGAAATACCTTAACAATCCAGACTACAATTTTGAAAAAATAAACCACGCCAGTAATGCATGCGGTCCTTTAGTAAAATGGGCAATTGCACAGGTACGTAACATCATGTTCTGTGAATGTTCGCACTAAAAGCACACTTCCGACCGTAGATTCAATACGCTGACATGCTGAAAAAAGTCGAACCACTGAGAGAGGAACTGAACTCCCTCGAAAATCAAGCTGACGAAAATAAGAAGCACGGAGAGGAGGTGAAGAATCTCATTAGCCAATTGGAACATAGCATTGCCGCCTATAAGGAAGAGTACGCGCAACTCATCGCGCAGGCGCAGGCCATTAAGACGGATCTAGAGAATGTCCAAGCGAAAGTTGATAGGTCGATTGCATTGTTGAAGTCGCTCAATATCGAGAGGGAGAGATGGGAAGCTACAAGTGAAACATTTAGGTCACAAATGTCGACAATTATAGGTGATGTTCTACTGTCATCTGCCTTCATAGCGTATGGAGGATACTTTGATCAACATGTACGTATAAATCATATCTGTGTGGACCCGTTCTCTACTTATCAATTAGCTTAATTGTTTTGAAAAGAAATTAGCCTGCAATTGTTTAACTATATAATTAATTACTAAATAGAGTGCTTAGCTTTAAGGAGTTTAGTATTATTATTATTAATCAATTTGTGGCTATTCCAGTATCGGCAAAATCTATTCAGCACATGGAGTCAGCACTTGGCCCAGGCAGGTATACAATTCAGACCCGACATTGCGCGTACAGAATATCTGTCACATCCCGACGAGCGCCTTCGTTGGCAGGCCAATGCCCTACCTACAGATGATTTGTGTACTGAGAATGCTATAATGTTAAAGGTAGGAAATCATGTAATTTGTTGTCCCTAATTGTTCGTTTGTAGCGTTTCAACCGTTACCCGTTGATTATTGACCCTTCGGGGCAGGCTACAGAATTTATAATGAACGAATTTAAGAGTAAAAAGATTACAAAAACCAGCTTTTTGGATGACTCCTTCCGGAAAAATTTGGAATCTGCCTTACGGTTTGGTAACCCCTTGCTTGTGCAAGATGTTGAAAATTATGATCCAATTTTGAACCCGGTGCTAAATAAAGAGCTGCGACGTACGGGTGGCCGCGTACTGATCACCTTAGGCGATCAGGATATTGATTTGTCACCATCGTTCGTGATATTCCTTTCGACGCGAGATCCCACTGTCGAATTTCCACCTGATATTTGTTCGCGTGTTACATTTGTCAATTTCACAGTCACCAGAAGTTCGTTACAGAGTCAGTGTTTGAACCAGGTTTTGAAAGCCGAAAGACCCGACATTGACGAGAAGAATTCTGATTTGCTCAAATTACAAGGTAGGCGTGGCTTAACATCTGTTGGATTATTTATGGCATATTTTCGTAGGCGAATTTAATCTTCGGTTAAGGCAGTTGGAGAAGTCGCTTTTGCAAGCACTTAATGATGCAAAGGGTAAAATTTTGGATGACGATAGTGTTATCACCACGCTGGAAACTCTGAAACAAGAAGCAGCCGAGGTCGGTAAGAAGGTGGAAGAAACCGATCAAGTGATTTCGGAAATTGCGAATGTTTCACATCAATACCTTCCATTGTCTCAGGTACATTTAATTTATTTACAGTTCTCAGTGCATTTATCGTTCTAATTGTAGGCGTGTAGTAATATGTACTTCACAATGGACAGTTTAAATCAAGTACATTTCTTGTATCAATATTCGCTTCAAATGTTTTTGGACATGTTCAGCAGTGTTCTGTTGAGTAATCCTCATCTTCAAGGTATAAGTGACTATCAAGCGAGATTAAACGTTATAACATTCGATCTGTTTGCGGTAAGTACAAGTACTTTGTGTAGTAGTATTACACTACTATACTGTATTCATTATAAGAAGGTAGTAGATGGCGCTGTGTTTGAAGATCGACACACACAGGAAAAATATAAAACGGCACAAAATTTTAAAAATATAAATCAAACGATATCACGCTTGGATCTTTGAAATTGACAGCTAATGACAATTCGACAGTTTAATTCGTAATTGAAACTTCTAACAGACAGAAAGCGTTTTATTTTTCAGGGTAATACTGACTCGTGTTTTAACCAATCACAGTGAAGGTCAAACTGTCCCTATGCTTTCTATCGCTACCTTCTTAAAATGAATAGCGTATAGTGTATAAACCATGTTTATTTATTTTATTTATTTATTATCCCTTTCTTGTTCTGGGCCCTCAACAGGCTTGTGCCCAATTACAGAGTGATCCGCATAATGCAATGTTTAGTTGGGATCACGCTGAGACCAAATCGAAAAATTTCTTATTAAACACTTGAAAGCTCTTCATATCTATCAAATTCCATGTTTCTGTTCCGTACGCGTTACGAACGGCCTAAAACCCACATAAACAAAGCAAAAAAGGCAAAAGATCTCCTCTAAAGCTGTTACTTTATATAGAATTCCTAAAAAAATGTGGAAATGGAAGTCTGGTTTCCCAGCCGGTCCGCGTACTCTGTTGATATCGTCCAATGAATAAAAAATTCTTTATTTAATTACCAGTCCCTTTGACCTAAAAATTGCGCCTGATTTGCGATTAGACCCATTCTAATCAGACGAGGTATGATATAACGCAATTAATTAACTATGGTTAATTATATTCACTTAATTGACCAGATTAAAGTTTCCAAATACGGTACCCAATAATGCCCATTAGTCCAGGCTAAATAGCTCTAAAATGATTTATTTTCCAAAAAAATTAGTTACCGGGCGAAACCGGGTTTTTCAGGTAGGTGAAATGAATAGAAATTGGGAAAAAATAATTAAAACAGCTGAATTTTTCCGCGGGTGAAATCACGGGGGTGGAAGGGGTGGAAAGTGGTATTTTGCAAATTGTGGCAAAACTATTGATTTTAGACGAAAATGTTAAATGTAAAAGTTATAGAGATTAAAAAAATGAGCAACTTTTGTATCTGCACTATTTTCACATAACCTCCAATTTTCCTAGAAAAATCGGAAGAACTGTTTTTTTCGTATTTTATTCTTATTTTTGCGAAAAAATGTAGGGGTTTGAAATTTGGAGGTAACATAGCCTGTTTTATGATAAAAAGGAAGATAATTGTTTGGGCCCATAAAGTTGAACCGTTTCCAAGATCTCACGATTTCTGTAAAAAATCACCTTTTTTTCAAGAGGATGAAAAATATATTTTTTCTCCAACCACCTGAATAAGACGCTATTTTGTGACAGTGTTCGGTACCTAAAATTGACGTTTTACGGATTAATCGCTTTCACCATGGCAACTGTACAAAAAGTGGATACTTTTGGTCCTAGTACCAAAAAGAAATTGACCTTGAAAGTTGGCCAATTAAAAAATTACAATCACGGAGATATGTCACATTGACATCGTTTTACATTGGAGGTTGTAAGATATTTCTATACATACAAATCAAATATTTTTGCATATTCAATGCAAATAATGATGTTACCTATACGTATGTACATGTATTGAAAATGATTCACGCTTGCTATTTTTATTTAAACCATGTGTAACGTAATTTACATATTCCGTGAACGTAATTTTAATACGTATACAATCCGCCGTCGCGCGTACCGCCATCTACTTCAGACCCATTGCACTATTATCTGTCATTTTGAATTCAAAATTTGAAAAAGTTAATTGCAATTAATTTTAATGGTATAAGTTTTTTATTTCAATACAAAATATAACAATATTAATTGTGTATACAATAAAATGACTGAAACTGATAGCGACATGGATTGCACTCCGCCAGAGATTATAGAAACGGCAGAACATCTACCTCAAGATTTGCTCCCTACAAAGTCGCGAGAGGTGAGAAGTAAGAAGTAAGAACGAATTATAAGTTAACCTAAAAACTAGAGTGGCATGACACGTGAGGACATCAAGAAAGCAGAAGTTCTTGTATATAGTAGTGAAAGTGTGACTGAATCTAAATTCGAATATAATTTGAAGTAAAGGGGGTTGGAGAAAAAATTTTATGTTTTATTCGTACAAAAAATGCGTTTTCGGTACTCGGAAGGTTGCTGGACTCCGCTAACGCGTCGTCCAGCAACTATCTTCCTCGTCCCGAAAACTGACATTTTTTGTACTAATGAAACAAATAACTATTTTCTATTTCGATGTGGAAACAATACCGAAACCGTACTTGATTGGTCCAGTTTGCGTGCGTTTCTAGACAGAAATGATGCTGAAAGAAATAGAAACGTATTATTTTTTTATTTTGTTGGATTGGTACCCCTCGCTTTTTTGCCGTCATCGGTATCCGTCAAATCAAAACTAAACATAACCTGTAACGTGTAAATAAAGTACGAGAGGAATTTTTTACTAAATTTCAAATAAACAAACAACAATTTATTGTACAACTGTACAAGAGACGTGTTTGTCATCCGTAATCATCATAACATTCATAACTGCCGCAAAATGGAATTATGACCAAATAATTAAAAGTTTGAAGTTTGAAAATACAGGAATCAGGTTAGCCAACGTGAAAATAAATGAACTTTGTCTATTACCAACATACACTGAATGATAGTTTAAAATTACCTAACAACGCCTAAAGGCAATATTTATAATTTGTATAATTTATTATTTAAAAGTCGAAATAGAAAAAATAGTATAAAGCACACGTGTCATTTGATTACTTGTCGCACTCGGCTTTTGCCGCATTCGCCGCTACGCGGCTTATGCGGCAAACTACCTCGTGCGACAATCTTCGTCAAATGACACTTGTACTTTAATATACTATTTTTTCATCGTACAGAGGTGCGCGGGGTAGCAAAATTTTCGTAACGACTTACATTTTATTAATCAAAAATAAAAAATATTCCAATAGAAAAATTTCAAGAAAAGCGGAAAAAACGGGGGGAAAAGTTTTAAGATACACCGTTTTTGACAGTAGATAAATAAGCTTTTTTGCAAATAAATTAACGTATTGGATCCGCGTTAATAAAAAGTTTTGTAAATCTGTCCTCTCTCCTCTTTAATGTTGCTAAAATATTTTCTTTTGTTTCCCAGTGCCCAACTGCCTTAATTAAAACATCTTTTTTTCCTGGCATTTTTACTGCAATAAAAGCAATTCGAAGTAAAATCGAATTCTTTTGCTCCCTGAACAATATGTTTTTGTTCACTAACTCTTCTTCCTGCCTGTTTTACAGCTGATGGGATTAAGCTGGGCCTGTTGATTGTTAATTTACAGGAATTATGAATAAAATCCCCATAAAGTTTATTCCTGCAGGTTTGACATCTCAAATCATTTGCTTTTGGCCGGTAAAACCAACGTTCTTATTGCAGATTTTGCAAGTTTATCAACAGGCCCAACGCAATTGCATCAACTATAAAACAAGCAGGAAGAAGAGTCGGTGAACAAAAATAAATTGTTCAAGAATCAGGAAGCAAGATACATAATTCGATTTTATTTCGAATTGCTTTTATTGCGGTAAAAATGCAGAAAAAGAAATAATAAAGATGTTTTAACTAAAACAGTTGAGCATAAGATAACAAAAGAGAATATTAGGCAAACATTAAAGAGAAGGAAGAAGACAGATTTCGAAAAAATCTTTATTAACCTCCAACATGTTGATTTATCATGTCAAAAACCGTGTATATCTTAAAACTGTTTTTCCGGTTTTTGGGGATTTTCTCGAATTTTTGCTATAGGAATAGTATTTTTTTATTTTTGTTTATTAAAATATAAGTCTTCCCGAAAATTTTGCTACCCCGCGCACTTCTGTACGACGAAAAAAAAAATAGATTTTTCATCTCCTTGAAAAAGAGGTGATTTTTTTACAGAAATCGTGAGATCTTGGAAACGGTTCAACTTTATGGGCCCAAACAATTATCTTCCTTTTTATCATAAAACAGGCTATGTTACCTCCAAATCTCAAACCCCTACGACATTTTTTCGCAAAAATAAGAATAAAATACGAAAAAAACAGTTTTTCCGATTTTTCTAGGAAAATTGAAGGTTATGTGAAAATAGTGCAGATACAAAAGTTGCTCATTTTTTTAATCTCTATAACTTTTACATTTAACATTTTCGTCTAAAAGTTTTACCACAATTTGCAAAATACCACTTTCCACCCCTTTCAACCCCCGTGATTTCACCCGCGGAAAAATTCAGCTGTTTTAATTATTTTTTCCCAATTTCTATTCATTCCACCTGCCTGAAAAACCCGGTTTCGCCCGGTAACTAATTTTTTTCATACAAAAATATTATATAACCTGGACTACATTGTTACATGGGATTTCAGATCAATTGCAAAACATCATGAACTTTCAAATTTGGGTTTTTGTTATGTGAACATTCTGCTGTTGACTATAATAAATCAGATCAATTGGTGATGTTATATTTGATTTATATTTTAGGTGTGCTATGAAAGAGTAGCGAGAGGGATGTTGCACACTGACCGTGTGACATTCGCCCTTCTCCTCTGTCGCATCCAACTGAAGGGTGCACTAAACGAACCTAACCTAGATGAAGAATTTAATTTCTTCTTACGTGGAAAGGAGGGTGTGGTGGACATGTCACGTGTGGCTAACACCATCAATTTGACGCAAGAACAGCACGAAGCCTTGGCCAGGCTTTCCTCACGGTTTGTGCGCCTTGACAATTGGCAAACCGAATTATTTTGAATCTTTCTAGACTTCCCGCCTTTAAGAAACTGGTCGCAAATATCAATGAAATGCCAGAATTTACGGCCTGGCTGCAGCAGGGAACTCCCGAGCAGAATGTACCGCGATTGTGGATGGAAGAAAAACCGCTTAGTCTCATTGGGTCGTCCATGTACCAGCTGCTGCTCATTCAAGCGTTCCGGCCAGATCGCGTAATCGCGGCTGCGCAACTTTTTGTCGCGTCCGTTTTGGGCGATGAGTTTATGCCGAACGCAGAGAAAGAGCTGGATTTCGCTGCCTGCGTCGAGAAAGAATTGCGAGCTAGTGTTCCCGCGCTCTTGTGTTCGGTTCCAGGCTTTGACGCATCGGGACGCGTTGATGATCTCGCCGCCGAATTGAACAAGCAAATATCCAGCATCGCAATTGGTTCGGCCGAAGGCTTTAACCAAGCAGATAGAGCTATTAATATGGCTTGCAAGACGGGCAAATGGGTGTTGCTAAAGAATGTGCATTTAGCTCCTCAGTGGCTTGTTCAATTGGAAAAGAAATTACATTCCCTACAACCGCACTCCGGATTTAGATTATTCTTGACAATGGAAATCAATCCTAAAGTACCTGTTAATTTGCTTAGAGCCGGCAGAATCTTCGTTTTTGAACCACCTCCGGGTATTCGAGCAAACCTACTGAGGACATTTAGCACTGTAAGGCTCATGTTCGGCCAAGGGCACACTGCTAGCAATTATCTTTTAGGTTCCTGCGAGTAGAATGATGAGAGCTCCTAGCGAACGGGCTCGGTTATACTTCTTACTGGCATGGTTCCACGCGATCGTTCAGGAACGACTCCGTTACACACCTTTAGGTTGGGCAAAGCATTACGAATTTAATGAGTCTGATCTGCGAGTTGCATGTGATACTCTCGATACATGGATTGAGACAACTGCAATGGTAAGTACTTCAAATCATAGTGTAAGTAGTGGAATATGAAGTGACATTATGAAGAAAAACAGAAACTAACTTAAAGATTAAGATTTGATAGGTTTGGATGCAATAATCTGAAGGCGGATTGTAATTAAGGGTTGTTGTGTTCTGTAGCCCTTCATTATACTGTTTCTTTACAGTTGCTTTGTACAGGAATCTTAAGACTAACATGGTCTTTATGATTATACCAAAATAATGTGCTCTCTTTGGTTAGGGCCGTACCAATTTACCCCCAGAAAAAGTACCATGGGAGGCCTTAGTAACCCTACTTTCACAATCGATCTACGGCGGAAAAATCGATAACGACTTCGATCAAAGACTTCTACACTCCTTCTTAATGAAATTATTCACCCCAAGAAGTTTCGAATCCGACTTTGCGCTAGTTGCAAATGTCGACGGCGGTCCGGGCGGTAACCGTCACATTATCATGCCCGATGGTACACGCAGAGATCATTTCTTGAAATGGGTCGAGACACTAGCTGACAGACAGACACCCGCATGGCTCGGTTTGCCGAATAATGCAGAGAAAGTGTTGTTAACCACCAGAGGAACCGATTTGGTTGGGAAACTTCTTAAAATGCAGCAGCTAGAAGACGACGATGAGTTGGCTTACTCCGAAGAGGTCTCCCCGACAAGCCCTGACCAAATAGATGGGCGACCGTCGTGGATGAAAACACTGCATAATTCCGCCGAAACTTGGCTACAACTTTTGCCTAAATCTCTACAGGTTTTTGCGATATTTTAATTAGTCACAATTGTAACATTTAAACTTTAGACTCTCAGGCGTACCATTGAGAATATCAAAGATCCATTGTACCGATACTTCGAAAGGGAAGTTAATTGCGGCGCTAAACTACTGCAAGACGTCATTCATGATCTAAACGATGTTGTTTTAATTTGTCGGGTATGTTGATTTACCAAATTCAATTTTTGCTGCCATCTGTTGGTTGTTAAACAAATTTTTGCAGGGAATTAAGAAACAAACAAATTACCATCGAACAATGCTATCCGAATTAGTCAGAGGAATATTGCCAGCAAATTGGAGACGATACACGGTCCCACGAGGATGTACAGTGATTCAGTGGATCACTGACTTTAGCCAAAGAGTAAAACAATTGCAACAAGTGTCTCATCTAGTATCGACTGCTGGTGCTAAAGAATTACAGGTAACTAGGTAACCACATTCTTTATGTTACATGACTTTCTTAGAGTCTACCTGTGTGGCTTGGAGGTCTACTCAATCCTGAAGCGTACATTACTGCAACACGTCAATGCATAGCCCAGGCTAACAGCTGGTCTTTAGAAGAATTAGTTCTGGAGGTAACAATTACAGACTCGTCCGATAAAAATAGCATTCCTACCGACTGCTTCGCTGTGACGGGTAAATCCCCAACCAACGTCTACATGTGGGTATTAAAACTTAGTTTTAGGTATCAAACTGCAGGGGGCGCAGTGTAAAAATAATCAGTTGCTGCTAACTTCAAGCATAATGGTTGATCTACCGCTAACATTGTTACGGTGGATTCACATTACAGGCGAAGAAAAACTATCCGACAGTCGCCTCTCGTTACCAGTCTACTTAAACTCCACACGTACTGAACTGTTGTTTACAGTTGATTTAACTATCGCACCAGGTCAAGATCCACATAGCTTTTATGAACGCGGTGTTGCTTTACTTACTTCTACTGCTCTCAATTAAGTATTAAAAAGCTGAATTTAAGCCAACTTAGTACATAGCAGGATATGTTATTTTTTTGGTTATTTATTGTATTTATTGTATATTCACTTATATGATGCTTTATTGCTTTTTTTTATAAAACTGTTCAATATACTTATTAATGAAGAGGTAGCATTAAACGTTTCATTTAAAAAATGGCATTCCTATGTCATATATGTGCTTCAGCTACGAAAACTACAATATCCAATGGAGTTCTCGGAAAGGATCTATAAAAGCGAGTCTCTCTAAAGACTTCTCTTTAGAGAGCTATATACTGGTATGGAAAAAAGTTATTGCGAATTTGACTTCTGATAATAATATAATCTAGAATGAAACCCAGTAAGTATTATATGAGTGTGAGAGAGACAACACTGTACCAATGATGACATTGACAGGAGCAATTAAAGGAAAGCAAATGGAGAACCGTTTAAGAGAAACCAGAAGAATATGATGGATAACGTATGTGAGGAAAACTTAAGCGGAACGTCTGGGTAACTTAGGAATAGTTTGTTAAAATATTTGGGGAAGCTTGGGACAGCATGAATCAAAACTGAAGAAGGAACTGAATCTGAGAGGAACAATATTGTTTCTTTTATGAGATGTAAGAAATGAGCGAATTTGATACGAACCTGAAGGAATCTGGAGATGAACGTGACTACTATTGAGGAGAATTTTGAGGACGTGAGCTACTAATAGATGCTTATAAAGAAGAAGGTAATTTGAGAACTATATATGAAAAACTTAAAGGGCCAGTAGGTATGTCTCGTCCTGGCGGTCTACTTTCTTTTGCTGAGTACTCTCTCTTTCCACATTTCATTTTCAAGATAATAATAATAATACGCTTTTATTCCCCCTTAAGTTTGTATATAACAATAGAAATACAATATATTAAAAGAAAAGCTAACCTCTGGGAAAGGAACTACATTCATTCAGCGTACAAAACACCTCTACTTCACCAATACCTATATGTCTAGTCCAGACGATTCATTTTGCCTTTGTGAGTACTCTCCTCTGATAATCTGTTCTTGAGATATAAGGAATTACATATTTAGTTGGTTGGTAGAAATTAATTCATTTTATTGAGACCTTTCTTATTAGAATTAGAATAAATCCAGTCCCCCACAAGCCACTTTTTTGGTAAGGGGTCAGAAAGAACGGCGGTAGTTGATAGAAAACAGTGCCTTTTGTTGAGACCGTTAATTACAATACAATGAAAGATAACAATAGTTTCATCCCCCTCTACCTCCCGCCCCGATACCCAGTGATCTCGAAAAGGAGTCGCGGGTAGTACAGAACTGGCCGTAAAAAAAAATTGTCTGAGATCGACCGGGAAAAAACTTTTTCTGATAGATTTTGCCCTGTAGAATCCATAATTTCAAACAGTTCCAAGATTGGACTACTATATCAAAAGTTACAGCCCTTTGAATTTTTTGTCGAAATTGGTTTCTAGTGTATAATTTTGATTGAGCAATCTAATCGAAAAAGTACGAATCGTTTTGGATTCTACGCACCAAAATTAATAAGAAAAAGTGTTTCCCCGAGAAATTTTAGTGCAGTCGATTTTTGGTAAAAAAGGAAGGTTTATATATACTGCCTTTTTTTGAGGCCGGAAAAAAAATTGTCTGAGATCGACCGGGAAAAAACATTTTCTTATAGAATTTGGCCCGTAGAATCCATAATTTCAAACAGTTCCAAGATTGGACTACTAGATCAAAAGTTACAGCCCTTTGAACTTTTTGTCCAAATTTGTATTTAGTCTATAACTTTTGATTGAGAGGTCTGATCGAAAAAGTACGAATCGTTTTGGATTCTACACACCAAAATTAGTGAGAAAAAGTGTTTTCCCGAGAAATTTTGGAGCAGTCGTATTTTGGTAAAAAAGGAAGGTTTATATATACTGCCTTTTTTTGAGGCCGGAAAAAAAATTGTCTGAGATCGACCGGGAAAAAACATTTTCTTATAGAATTTGACCCGTAGAATCCATAATTTCAAACAGTTCCAAGATTGGACTGCTAGATCAAAAGTTACAGCCCTTTGAACTTTTTGTCCAAATTTGTATTTAGTCTATAACTTTTGATTGAGAGGTCTGATCGAAAAAGTACGAATCGTTTTGCATTCTACGCACCAAAATTAGTGAGAAAAAGTGTTTTCCCGAGAAATTTTGGAGCAGTCATATTTTGGTAAAAAAGGAAGGTTATACACTGCCTTTTTTTGAGGCCGTAAAAAAAATTGTCGGATATCGACCGGGAAAAAACATTTTCTTATAGAGTTTGGCCCGTAGAATCCATAATTTCAAACAGTTCCAAGAACAATAGTTTTATCCCCCTCTACCCACCTCCGGCCCCGACACCCAGTGATGTCGAAAAGGAGTCGCGGGTAGTCCAGAACGTACCTCCCCCACCCCCCAACTCAAAAGTTTTACTTGGCACCACTAAAGGCATGCGTGTGCAAAATCGGAGACCAATGGTTGTCTCATGTAAAAGTTATACCAATTACTTATTCAATGGTTACTTATGAACTGTATCTCAGGAAATCATTCAAGAGTTCGAGGATGGGGGGGGGGGGGCTTAAGACGATGAAATGTAATAGTTGGTCCGGACATATGGACGGACAAAACGCAAACAGTAGGTAGCCCATTTTTTAATAAATGCGGCAAAAAATGGAGGAGAGCCGTTTAGATCCTCCCCCGACCCCCACAATCTTTTTGGGATATACCAGAGCCCTCTAGCCCTCGCTCAGTGTTGTAGAGTCTTTTTAGTTTCTTTCCAAAGATTCGACCCTTTCCATATCAGGAAAGACTAAAGATAAAATGTAGGTGAAGCACATTTTTGAAAACTTCCTCAATTTTAAATACATTTAAAAAAAAGAAAGAGGGTCATGTGCAGTCGATACACATTTCCCGCCAAACGACAAGAGCGTAGAAATTTCCATTTTCTTGCGACCTATGAATCATTTGTGGCAGTGGTGTCACAGTATGTGGCATCTGCAGTGCAGAGTAGAACTTGACACGAGCCTGTGTTGTTATAAAACACCTTAGCTTCTTTTTTACCCAACCTTAAAACTAAGCGAAGACATGGGCATAAAGCTTTAGTCAATTTTGTTTTTAAACCGGCACTAAAAAAGCGTAAATATCACTTTTCCGTTAGCTTTATTTGAAAGTCCTAGAGTACGGCCCTGTTCATAACACCCGACGATCGACGAAGAGGACCCGAAGCCCCTTAATGTAACTGCTTTTGATTAGTGCGTCAGTTAGTTCTCAGCTGTTTACCGTGTTTGTTTGTACATGACGGACAATTGTGTGTGTTGTGCAAGTGCGTAAGCCCCTAGGGGGGCCCGGTCTGGATATGTCTCAGTACTTTCACGCTAGAGAAGTGGACTATTTGGGTTCCGAAGGGTACGTATGCTTTACACGTTATTGTTTACGAAAAAAACTCAGTCGGCCTTGATCACACGTTCTACCTTGAAGTTGCACGGTTATAAACAGCATGGTTTTGGTAAAAGCGGGTTACCCTAAACAAATTACCTAATAATCGCTGGTTATGATTGTGGTTTTAATCTTGATCTAAGTCAATTCTTGTTTTGTTTACAAAATGGCGACGACAGTAACCGCTTTTTTATGCTTCCTGCTCAGTTTCGGCCGTATGAAACACACGCTGCGTATATGATTAAAGCGGCACGAGACGAGGTCGATTTTGCTTGTCGACATATAAACGTAGTGGGCTAAGCAATTTTTACCAAAATTGTTACCATATCTTTATTGTCAAAATCTTAGATAGGCACTGACCTACATTTTCGCTTTTTTGTATTGAGAAGCGCGGCGAAAAACAACCGAGTTTTTCCAGGTTTTCATTGGCTATTTCGAAACGCAGGCATAAATAAAGTGCGAGATGAGATCACTAACCGTCTTTTGCATATATCGACTTGCAAATATAGGGGGCCGCACTTGTAGCTTTTATTTATTCGTAATTATACTAAAAATAGCATTCCACTAATTTTGTAGGCAAACACCAATATTTCCTGCAATAAACTGTACCCTGTGTATAGCGATGTGGGCAAACTCGCCTTTTAGTTTTCCTCTATATTTTTTCCCTAACATTTGAAGGGTTGAAAATTACATCATTGCCAAATTATGTAAGAGCATGTTACAAAAACAGAGACGGTCCTGACTATTGCGGTGTATCGTGCTGACAAATGGCAATCGTCGTTCTTTGCGTGTTTACCAAAAGCAAAAAGAAAAAAAGGGAATTAAAAGAAGCCAATTAAAATGAGTTATTGTTGGTTTACTCTTGTGAATTGACTAAATTTCGGCCACTGTTTAGTTTTTGAAAATGTGAAATTTTTTCCACCCCAGAAAGTACCTACATACTCAAAAACGCAAATATAGCCTATCACTTATAGTTGCTGTAAAAAAAATCCCTACATATTTTTGTATTATTTTTGAAACATTTTTTAAATCTCTTTATACATCTTAATGAAATGCACCCAGCCCAATAAACATTAGAAAAATTCTGCGATAAAAAATGAAGCAGTTTTGCCTTTGGAACTTTTGAGGATCCCAAACGAAAAAGGAATTTTGTGTGTGAATCGATTTTCGACACTTATAGGGAATCTCCGCAATTGTTAGTGCTATCAAAAATAAATATAGCGTCCTGTTTTTGGGTCAAATGTAAAACAGTTAAATACTTAAAATAGTAAAATCAAAATTTGAAAATATTCGTTCGCTTAAGATACGGGTCAAAAATTAAAAAAATTATCAATTTCAGAAAGACCCTGTATTTTTCTAGTTAAAAGAGATACAGAAAAATGTTAATTCCAAAAGTTTCTTGAAAATGATAGTTGAATAATGTGGAATTTTCAAAATAAGTTCAGTTCAGCTAAACAAGTTATCGGACCTGACCTCATTTTTTAAAATAGAACGCCCTGTATATTTCAATCTAAAAAGATAGCATCTTAAATTCTCTTGTAAAAAATATAACTATAGGGATTCAAGTGCTTCAAAACAGTTAACTTGTTTTAACAATGAAAAAGGTTCAGGTGATTCAAGAAATTCCCAAAAGATTAAAAAAAGGACTTAAAAATTTTTTAAAAAAGTTCAAAAAATAATTGTTTACTTTCATTAACAATACCTTATATCTTTTTAATGGTTTTCGAATTATTTTTATATTTATAATTGTTAATAATAAATAATGACATAATTAAATAATTATTTATGCAGGCCAATACAGCAAAAACAATTGTATAAACCGAGGTATAAACTAAAACCCGCGCTAAAACCCATCAGTCTTTTAACAAATGTTCAAAAAATATGCTCTTATAATTATATTTTTTGGAACAAAATTATAAAAATTCAAAAAAGCAAAGAAAATCGAGTTATTTCGAAAACCATCGAATATATGTATAAGACGTAATTAATGAAAGTTAATTTAAATTATTGAATAACTTAAAAGATTCCACAAAAATATATGGGGTGTTCCAACCGAGGTTCCAACTTTATAGAAATATGTTCATTTGAAAATAAATTATAACTTTGGTTTTGTTTCGATATACATATAATAATAAAAAAGACAGAATTTCATGGGGAGTTAAAAGTTAGGATGAGAAACCAAATACAGAGCGTTCCATAAAAAATTTAACTTTTTAGCACCCATCTTTATGATCGCACATTGCATAATTCAAAAGATTTCTAAAATAGACGGAATATTCTATCATATTACAATCTCAATAAATCCTTTTTTATGCCAACAGTAGAACTACTCCGTATAATCGTCGACTTCTCCTGTATATAATGAATCTAAACTTCTCTTTTAAAATCCGGATTTTACAATATGTTATGAAATGGGAAAAAAGCCTCCATTTGAGTAATTGTTTGAGATATCCGCTATGACAAAAATTGTAACAACAAAATTCGGATTTTTGCACGAAATTTCACTATACTTATTTCCAGCATTGCACTGCGACTATTGTGGCGCCAAGGAGACTCTGTGATGTAAATGTTGTAAATAAAGGTAAACGATCGCTTAATCTTTTGTTGAACAATTTTTACCATGAGCAATAAATTCTATACAGTGATTCTTTGTAAGGCTATAAACTTAAGTGTCGGGGTCATTTATGTCTTACTATTTTTACGTTCTCCGACTATCTATCGTTTAGTTCAAAATGCGTATTGTTTGATTTACTCAAATTGGTATATGATTTTTTGCAATTAACATTTTTGTCTTCGGACACTAGGTTCGTCGCACTCGCTCAGATGATTAAATCGCATTTTTTTACTGGGTGCAAACAAGCTAGCCAAAATTAAGTGAACATTTTTATCTTGTGATTCTTCGGGAATGTAACAGTTACGAATGTAAATTATTTATTCTTGACGCAGCTGTTCCTTTCCCGGCACAGAGTTGGATTTACTTCCTTCTATCGATGTCATAAGTCGTACAAGTACGAAATGGCGAAATGTCTGGAAGTATACAATAGGAAAAAGACCCTTTATTTCCAACAGCTGTCTTAAGGCACGCGTCTCCCTTGTTGGCTATCAAAGTAAGTATTCATTGATTGTACTTCCCCGACATCTTGCAACTACCGCGCTCAAGGTGTTTTCGTTTCTTGGGGCGAGTGTCCATATTTTGAGATTGGTCCATAACTCGGTGTATTGACCTTGCAAATTAAAATCTGTAGGCCGCATGGGCGGCATTTTCGCATTTTAAATGAAAGATTCTCACGAGATTATTTACCCCACCCCACCTGGCCGACGCACGTCGCGTTTAGATAATTTTAAACATTTTTATGTTTGAGAGTTAATAGACCGGATTAGGATGCTTATATGAAGGGGGGTTTTCTCCCTTTCACGAGAAACGCTCCTCGCATGGGAGAGCGGTGGACGCTTTGTTTATTGTGAGAGTATTTTTGCGAAACTCGTTTTTCACGATATTATTTTTATTGGCGATCGCCTTTATTAATGGCTCGCACTAGGTGATCTAAGTAAATCACGTGAACTCCCTTTTTTATTTTGATACTATGAATAAGATGTTGATCAGCTTAATCCTAAAATGCACAAGTTTGTTCCGTGTACGTGTTTATGGCAAGTATTAAAAAGTAATACCGCCAAGCTTTTTTTTCAAAAAAGGTAGGAGGTGAGTTGGTATACTTTTGATTGATATTAAACCGTCACACATGGTCCCATAAGTGAACGTCTTTAAGGGATAATGTGGGCAAAATTTAATATCAATGGCAACCCCCTTACGTAAGATTTATATGCATATTTTTGCATATTTATTGCTGTATCACAGCTTTACAAGAAATATGGAAAGCTGATTGGCTATTACTAACTTCATATTATACCGAGTGGTACACGGTAAGTAGGAACATAGGGATTTAACATGGGAAATTAGTTTTATGCAATATCCTGCCTTCCTGTACATTTTACAGAAAAACTGTAGAGTTTAAATTGTTCAGAATTAAAAGGTGCATACAAAACTGTTTTTACATGTTTTATTACGCTTTTTTATGAATGGCTACTAATAACCGAAATGTTGAAATTTATTCTTAAATTTGCTTAATAAAACATGTAATAACAGTTTTGTATGCACCTTTTAATTCTGAACAACTTTAAACTCTACAGTCTTTTCTGTAAAATGATTGTGGGACATGGTTCCCACATCAAACTTTAAGGACAATTTATTAATCACTCTACAAAATGGTATTTTTTTTCCTCGGTTGGTTCAACTGAAGTGGAACTATCAGTGTTGTGTTGAGTATTTTCAATAGTTTTTAATAAACTTGCAATAATGGAGAAACGGGATATAGATTGACTGGACTATAACGAAGAATAGTTTGACATGGTGGCATAGTTAAATTTTTAGCAAGTTAATGACACACCTTAAAGCAGGGTTGGCAAGAATTAAGTCAGTGATTTAATTCGCAAATTAATTTAAACTTCGCCCACTCCAAAAATTAAAACAAAAATAATTAAATGCTGGTATTTTTTTGCACGTAATTTTACTCCTATACATATTACATATGGACACATCGGCAGTAACCAGGCACAGGGGCGGATACAAGGGGTAGGTCATGGGGGTACCATTTAAAGAAAAGGGAGATTTTCAATATGAAGTGTTTTTTTACTTTGGGACCGAAAAAGAAGACACCTTGTAAATTTATTTTTAATTGCTTCATAGTAGATGTAATATTTATGTGCCTTTAATTTACCCAGGCTAAATGATATAGAGTCTGGAATCAAAATTTAAGTAGTAATTTTGACAATAAACTGGCGCTTGCATATGCCAATTTTTTTCTGAAAAATCAAACAAATTATCTTTAAAACTACAAGTTTTTCGTGCCACATAATAAAACTCCTACAGTTACACGTAGAATTAAATATGTAATGCATTTACATACACGCAC